GACGGAAACTCACGATGCTGCAGGACTCTTTAGCATTAGGCTCAGAAACAACATGAAGCAACACCTCCTTCTTGGATTCGGTTTCTGCAAATACACATGTTTCAAACCATGCCGCGGCTCATAAGCACACATTGCGTGAGCACACAGTTCACGTCAAAGGGTGCAACTTCTCAGAATTGTCCTAATTATCCGTACCAGCGTTGTGAAGCCAGTGGCTTCAGTTGGAAATGACCTTCTCTCTCAGCCTGTGCATATCCTTTTGGCTCCGGAGGCTGTGCCGGACGCAATCGGAAGCCAAGTGAGGACCATCCTTTCAAGATGCCTCGAGCAAGGCTAAGAGTTTCTCCCGCTCTTCCAAACTCCAGAAGTACACCAGATTTTTCCCGAGTTGCGTGCAGCCAAACAAGGCCAAGCACCATCTCTCAAGCTTCAAGTGCGTTGAAGACTTCACCAAGTCAGCGACATCTGAAGCGGCCAACAGCTTGCAGCCATTTAGCTCCAGAGAGAAGAAGGTCAACGCCGTCAGAAACGGAAGTCCCAGGCTGAGCCCTCTCACAGATTCCAACGCAGCCCATTCTTTTAGGCTTAGCTTCAACTGCTGTAGCTTGGCAAGCTTCTGCAGGCTTTGCCCAAGATCGTCAATAGTCTTGACATTCGCCAAGAGTGAAAAGTTCAGATCCAAACATCGCAGTTCGGTCATGTAAGAAAGTGACTTTCCAAGATTGCACACGTCGCAGATTGATGTGTTGAAGTTGGCCTGCATCCAGAACTCCTCCACAGCGACAAGCCCTGATAGGCCAGAGCCAAGGCCATCAATGGCATGTAACTTTTTCAGCCGAGAGATGTTGAGCTTCAGTTTCCGAAGCTTTGAAAGTGACCTGAAGCAACTCTCAAGCCCATCCAGTGAAGTCGCGCCGCAGCAGTCGAGGCATAAATGGAGATCTTCCAGCTGCTGCAATCTTGCAAGCCCAAGGCCTAGCTGGTTAACGCCCTCATCGCTGAGATTGGCACAGAATTGAAAACTGATATTTAGCTTCTTGAGGTTCTGGGCAAGGTTCATTGCAATCTCTCCAGAAGTTACGCCACAGCTCGTGAACGAGATAAAGAGCTCTTCAAGACAGGACAGGTGAGACAGGCTTTTGCTGAGCAGCGCAGTGCTACTGAGGCTGTTACAGTTGGAGAAGTCCAAGTGTAGATGAACCAAAGAAATGAGCGGTGCAATTGCAGAAGCCAAATAATCGACTTGCGCTTGCTCCTTTAGCGTATCTTTTAACATGCTGAAATCCAATTGTGTTCGTGAAGTGTCACCTTGCAAAGCCTTTGCAAGTGGCAAGCTGCTGTCATCAGATATGTCAATTTTCTTTAGGAGTGCTTGTCGCCAACCAGCAAGGGCAAATGTTGACTTAAGTACCTGGTCTGAAATTTCAATGTTGCGGTGATCATTTTGCGGAGAAGCGTCGAGCTCGGCTAGGCTCCCAGCAGCCAATGAGTTCAGGATTCTAGTCCGATCAACCTCAATACTGGCTTTTGCCGCACTGATCTGTATCTGAAGACCCAGCTCGATCATTTGCAGGGGAAAAGCATCCTCCCGTTTGGACTTTGCCTTCCATCCCGAGGGCATGGAAAAGTGAAACTGATGACCTTTCTCCATCTCCTTCTCCTTGCTGGTCATACCATCTGTGAGAAGTTGTGGCTGCTGATCTCCGTCCACTGTTGCGATGTCCCACAAAAGCCGTGGGCGCCGTCCTTCTGTGCCATCACGAGCTACAAGTTCCTGCAGAGCTGCCCGTTCCTGGGTGCTTACCACGAGGCCCCGCGAAGCTAGAGCCACCATCCCCAGCTCAAAGCAGCACCAAACTCGACTGAACGGCGTGGCCGAGGGATCAAGAACAAGAACCACCCCATCGCAACTTGCCATGGCCTTCAGGAATGATGATTGCATTGGATCAGTACCCACCTCTGTTCCAAGCGAATGCTGATTGTTTGCATAAGCGCAAACCCAGTATGCGTAAGCAACAGGATTCGGAGCACCACGGACACAGTAATGATGCTTGAGGCAGCTCAAAAAATCTACGATGGCCTCTCCCCACCAATGACTCACAAACCAGTGTGGACGTTGAAGACTCGCATCTATGGCAACTGCCTCAACAAAGCTGCAGCAAGCGTAAGACGTCATTGGCTTGATTACCCAGTGGGTTAGCTGGTACAAATTGACAGTTTGAACCTTCAGTGAAGCCCCATTGATTGGATCCGTCCATCCAATGATTTCGTCGCCATGAGTCTGGCTCTGCATGAAGTCCACCAGAGATTGCAACTGTTCAGGCAGCACGCCCCTTTCCTCAACCAGTGGAATGTTGAGCGGCCGGCGGCCACCAGTCAGTACCTGAAACTCGTCGTCAATAAATTTCGGATGGTGCGTCGTAGAGCTCTGGACAGCGCAGTGTTCCAAGGCAGCTGCCAGTCTGCGCCGGTCTTCAGATTTCAGCTCACGGAGGCACTGCGTGACTTCATCCACGGAGCAGTTCTCGATGTCGGATGCAGAGAAACTTCCTGCAGCCGAACCCATCCTGTTCAAGATAGAACGACAAATCACGGCTTGCAGTCGGAACACTCAGGCTTTTACCCGGTGCCTTGAACAAAGCATAATCAGACTTGACCAAAATGGCTACGAATCCCCGTGGTTTAGCTACACTGCCTTCTTGCGCACAAACCCCAAGTTTAATAGATTACCTGGCACGTCGACTTGACCTAGCACATGGACCCAATCACACAACTTGGCAAACCAATCCGTAGAAATCGTAGGACACCAAAACAAGCCAAACCAACACGAAGAACCAAGCGAAGAAAAGCGAAGCAAACCCAGCGTTTGCAAACCAAACCAAACTGACAGCCCTAAGAAACACCGACCGCATAATGGCTGGGTATCGGGCACAAGTACGATGGACCTTGAATCCAGGGTCCATACAGTAGAAGCAAGCGGCCATGTGAGCTGAACGATCCTCCCAAATCAAGTGGATGAGGCGCCCTCAGCCGCATGTGCCGGTGATACCATCATGGTCGCTGAAATCACCCTTTCTGCGATACCAAAGTGGGACCCCCTCATGTCCACCAATGATTTTGGAGGTGGCTCCAACTCTCTTAAATGCATCGTTGATTGGTCTAACCCATGTTTGAACAACGATTTAGGCATCCGCCTGTTGGTTCCCTTCCCCTAGTTCCGCCCCCCCCACATCCCCTTCAAGTCCCGCACACTTGCGCCAGGTCTGAGCCACGTCCAGCGCGAAGGGGCACCGAAAGACCCGGACCTGCCGAACCGGGATCCGCCAATTGGTAAAACCTGAGACCGGGGCCCTCCGAAGCTGCTAGACGCGAGGGTGTGTTGGACTACCTTCCTCTTGAGGACTCCCTCTGTCCACTTCATGGTGCCTGGAAAGAGGGGAACTTCAGCATCATTAACACCTAAGTGATCCACACGCAAACCTGCAGGGCTTGGCATTTACAAACAGGTGCTGGTCCCTTTAGGAATGTTGGTTTGTTGTGTTTAAGCCGTCCGGCACAACCAATACATCCCCGTGAATAAGTGGGAAAGCTCCTATCTCCGCTGAGTGCAGGACACGGGCACCACCACGGCCAAAACACGGGGTTCCCCCCAAAATGGCTGCTTCACGTTTGCTTCCCATATCTTCTCATTGAAATGCAAGGCCCGAGTTTGGGAAACAGGTGCCCGCCTTGCGAGTGCCGTACAGGCTTTCCACGCCATCCCGCAGGCTCACAGATCCGAAATGCCTCAGGACAGTTTGGGCCAGGTCAAGGGAATGAAACCGTTTGATGACCTGGGCTTATTCAAACATCATCAGCTTTCTCCTGGGCAAGGGACACACACATGGACTGCTACTGCTCTTGCCATCCACTTGGAAGCTTGGTGCAGCCGCAATGTTGACTGCTCCGAACGACCTGGTATGTACAGCAAGAATGCTGAATCTTTCAGGCGTGACCTTTGGCTGAGCCAAAACGCACGACTGACCTTGTAACGTCTTGAATGGTTGGTGACTTCTTCGCGCTTGCAACTGAAGCCTGCAACAAAATGCAGGAAAGCCTGCGGTTAGGTTCGGGTCACGCCAGGCTCAAGGCAACACCGGCACGGGGATGTGTCAAGACCAACTGACAAAGGCTCCAAGGACTGGAAAAGAAAAAGGATTAAAAAGGCCAACCCTTGGGCTGTCGGAAGACCAAGGTAAGACCCAAATTCAGCCGTGGACTGAGTCATGATCAGACCAGCAACAGAACAGGGCTACCCAGAAAGCACGGCTCTGAGCAACTCTCACCCGTCTCACCCTTCGTCCAGGGAGCATTCTGCTAGCCGCGTGCGTCCTTCGCAGCCGACATAGCTGGGCCATAAGTCAGGTATGGCCAGCGGCACCCCAAGTGGACTCTTGGGTTCCCAATTCCCAATTTGGTTCAACGGCATTCCAAAACAAACGTTATGCGCCCAGCAAGTGGTTGAATCATTGAATGTGCGTACAGCTGCCTGGTTCCCCCCCCCCTGTGCACAAAGTCCAACTTTTGCTGGTGAGGGGACCTCCCAAAACACTTGAAGGCCGAAGGTCAAACCCAATAAGCGGCCAAGAGCGGCCAAGAGTCAGGGCTCCCAAGATTGTCCTTTACACATCACCCACCCCACCAAAAGGAAACTCAACTCAACTTAAAATGGTCCCAACGGTGATGCAAATAATGCTTAACGACAAGGCTCAGTAAGCCAATTTGGAGGCTGGAGATGCTTTTCACAGCTCGGCTGATGCGCATCTTGAGCCGAGCAAATGGCAATACTCTTCACAAGCTTATGCCTCCTCGTGCCCCCTTCCAGTGACATGTGGCCTGGGTTCAAGTCCAAAGCGCAAATTCCTCCACATGCGCTTTCCATCTCTCTCTCTCTCTCTCTCTCTCTCTCTTTTGTGTTGGTCAGTTCCTTCGGTCAAATTTGGAAGTACTGAGGGCAAAGCATGCACCCTCAGGAAGGTCCGCAGAACGGGGGCCGCCTTAGCACAGAGGTCATTGGTCATTCTCTGTCCCTTCGGCCCATCGGTCATTGACCAGTTGCTGCACTTGGTCAAATCCATTCACGCATGATCGCATGACTGTTGCCCACTGACACTGGTAGCAGCAGGGAACCTGGCTTGGCTCCTTGGATTGGCAATATTTACCAGCGAAGAATAACGCTCCGATAGGGTGTCGCCGCGCGCTTTTTCAGGCCAGAGTTTTTTGTTTCGGCCTTACTGCCACAGCCATGAGCGATCCTTCTCGGAATCTAAGAAAGCTTCTGAATCACAGCCCAGTTGGCTGGCATGGACACAGTGCTGTGCGGGTGTGATTAAACGGGTGTTCTTACCATTTGGATGGCAGGGATACAGTGCTGCGCGGGTGCACTTGAACGCGTGTTCTTACCATCAGGCTGGCAGGGATACAGTGCTGTGCGGGTGCACTTGAACGGGTGTTCGTACCCATCTGGCTGGCATCGATACAGTGCTGCGCGGGTGCACTTGAACGTGTGTTGTTCCCATTTGGCTGGCATGGACACAGTGCTGTGCGGGCGCGCTTCAACGGGTGTTCTTACCATTTGGCTGGCATGGATACAGTGCTGTGCAAGTGCGCTTGAACGGGTGTTCTTACCATTTGGCTGGCATGGATGCAGTGCGGCGCGGGTGCACTTGAACGTGACTTCTTACCATCTGGCTGGCATGGACACAGTTCTGCGTGGGTGCACTTGAACGGGCGTGCTTCCCCTACACTTCAACGGGTGTTCTTCCCATGTGGCTGGCATGGATACAGTGCTGTGCGGGTCACTTGAACGTGTGTTCTTACCATTTGGCTCCCATGGATGCAGTGCTGCGCGGGCGCGCTTGAACGGGTGTTCTGTGCGGCGCGGGTGCACTTGAACGGGTGTTCTTACCATTTGGCTGCACTTGAGCGCTGTGTCCGATTTCTATCGCAGGTCGTCGAAAACGGGGCGTGAACGCGCCACACCAGGGGGGAACGACTCTGAGAAAGCGCGCGGCGACGCCCCACCGGAGGGAAGAACAAACACATACCCTTGCTGGGGCCTGTTGATCGTGGTTCAGATGTCCCCTTTAATCATGGCAATCCAAGTGGACACCACCCATTTTGAACGTCCCCTAGTTGAAAACACACCCATAATATATGTATGTTCTGAGCAGACCCCGGCAGTGTTGGAAAGAGGGTGCTACGACTTCTCGCCTGGGTCCTGCACTCCTGGCATCGATGCGGGGCAAAAGCCGGGCCTGGGATGCACCGATCAGAAGGCTTCCACACCAGTACCCTCGCCCCCAACAAAGCCACAAAAGGGCTTTTTAAGGTGGTTTTGCAGTGGCCAATTTATCAGGTTTGAGTGAGCAACATATTGAGCAACATTTGTGGATGTCTGAACAAAGTGTCTAAACTTGATTCTGCAGGGAGCGGGTTCAAGCCATCAATTGCGAGCCATTCAAGCCGCTGCTGAAAGCAAAGCCCTCGGCCAACCAGCCTCGCATCTGGCCAAAGCTCTACTGGGCCCGGAGTGCCCAAATCTCACGCTCCAATGATGCGATGAACGCAGGGCTCAATTCCAACAAGTGCGGAAAAGGCCGGGCAGGTGGAGAAGCTCGACCCCTTATGAAGAGCTGTGCCAATTTTGCAGTTTCCACAGGGGACTGTATGTGTGAACTTCGAGGCAGTAGGTTACAAGCAAGCCGCGCCTCTGCACAAAAATAAAAAGCTGCTCCGCCCCTGAATACCCTTACCCAAACATGCCACACACTTGAACTGACTATGGGCTGCAGGAGGTTCTGGCCCAATACGAGATTGGTCCAATCTGACAGCTTGAGCGCGAATGAAATAGTTCGTCTAAAGCGGCTTAATCAAACTACAATCACCCAGTTGGCCCCCAACCACACTCCATTGCCCCAGCAATTCACCAAGTCATCCCCCAAAGTATTAGGTTGTATGGAAACGCCGGCGTTTCAGCAACCAAGGCAAACCAATCATGTGCTGACGCACCCACCCAGAATCGTTCGGGGAACGCCCGAACGCTTCTCAACTTTTAACCCGGGGCGTCCTATTCGTTAAACGTCTGTTTTGGAGTTTATGGAGCGTTGTCCAAGCATGCCCGAGGTGCTACCAACCCTCCCCACTCAAAAGCAAAACACCTATTTGGACAAAGATTGCTTGCCAAGAAAAAAACAATCTTCCAAAGCTGCACGGAATGTTGCTTCTGCCGAGAAAACAAACGTTCGGACGGAGGACATGTGGGTTGCCTGTGTAGGAGACCAGCTTTGGCAAATGAGGTCGGGAACAGAAACGCAGCAAGAACATTGGATAAAACCCACTCAAGGACAGGGGGAATGTCGACCCCAGGTGGACCGTATTAGCCAACCAGGGTTCATTCACCCAAGGTCAACTATTGATACAGTGAGCCTGGTAGCAAAAGACTTGGAACCCTTTCTCGGCTTGACCAATCTTGAGCAGTGGGCAACTCTAACGACAACAAGACCAGTGGTATCCCCCAAAGCAAACCCCAGAACCCTCCCAGAACCCTAGCCCAAAGCCAAGTTGAAGCATTCCGCAGCCCACCTCAACAAAAACAGTAGCAAGTGCATGCAAATGCTCACTGAGACGAACTTGGTGTCTTTTTGGGTCCCCGCCCTGTGGTTCTGGTTGCCCTCACTTTAACCCGCCGCCGCGCCGAAGCTCCGGGCCGCCGGCGCGGAGTGCACTGCCTGGGCGTCGTAGCGGATGACGCTGTGCGCCGGGAAGCGCCGAACGCCCCTGGCGTGCCGAGGCGCGCGCCGAGGCGCGCGCCGAGGCGTGTCTCAAATGGAACCGAATCCACGGGACAGTAGCGGACAGCAACCTCGCCAGGCCGGGAGGGGGGGGGTATCGTCAATTCATAGTCAGTCGGAATGGGCTCAAATAACTTCAGTACATGATTCTCCAGTGAAATTCGTCTCCATGCGAAGACTACGGGAATACTTGGGAACACTACGGAAAGTAGGCAGACTCACCAGCAGAAACCACGGCAAATCAATAAGGTAACAAGCGAAAACGCAATGAGTATCAAAGGCTATAGCACTTGCAACATGTTGTTTGTTTACCCTATGTGGTTTTCATAACCTGATGTTTATCTACCCCAAAATGGTGCCCCCTGAAAATCAACATGGAGCCCGAGCAAGGCAAGCATTTGTGGACGAGCCTCCTGTGGGACGCAAAGAGCCAGCCTCTTTTTGTAGGGCATCAACCCTTGATTAGTTCCCCCCACGATGCGGCATCCAGTGAACCAACGACTTGCTCACATTTGTTTCATAAACTCACGTTACTCACCTATGTCAGCCTGGTCACTCGCTGGCAATGATCCACTGGAGTCCCTGTAAAAGGCCTGTATTTAAAAACCGGTCCCCCAACAAGCAGTCACCGGTTGGACTCGAAACGGCTACAGCCAGCAACCTTCCGAACCACCGCAAGCACATCACAACCAGATCTGCTTCTACCAGTGCCAATCCATCTGAAACTGAAACCTCTGAAATTGCCAAACACCATCCCTGATCCAGAGTTCCCTCATTTCCCCTTGCAACATCGCCCCTACCAAAGGAAAGTCACCTTGCAGGGCCCAAGAGGTGATGCTTAAAACCAAGGGAATATATAGAGAACCCTGCAGTCTGCCGCGACTTTCAAAGAAGCCAGGTGTGCGCATCCGGACCTGGCGGGACGTGTCTCGAGACGCTTCACTACCAAATGAATTGCAAGAACCTGAACTCACGAAGTTCCCAAGAGAAAGGTTGATCTTGGACGCGCGGGCTTTTGTGAGCTCGGCCGAGTGACGATGAGGATTCTGTCCATCCTAAGCATTGGATGCCCAAGCCGTTGCTCCAAGCAATAAGATCCTGCAGCTTGTCATATCGAGGAGTCTCCTTGTGAGGAACCCTGTTTAGGGGTCTCAGCATCATTTGCACGGCTTCTGAGAGCTCCAAATTGTATGAGCAACATGTCCGTTGCTCCAGTTTGACCTAACCATGAAATTCCCCGCACCTGTCATCCAGGTGAGTTATATACCTAATACTTCAGCAGCAGATGCAAACCTGAGAAAGCAAGAACAACATTCCTCAAGAAAAAAACAGCTTCATGAAGGGTGCGGCAGCTTTTGCTGAACCAACCAGCCACAGCTCAAGGGGCATCCTGACAAATGACACTTGGCTCACGGCCAGGACCTCCTGCAGCACATGCTCATCTTGAGCATGTGGCAATCAGGCAATCAGCAAGGATAACCCAGGGGGAAAGATTCGAAGGTGATCCTCCCGTCCCTTGAGCAAGGAACATATAGCCCTTGTCACACTCTTGCCCCGGCCAATTCAATCTGTTTCACTCTGGCAACGCCCTGTCTGCACTGGACTCACATTCCCAGCCTTCTGGATAAAAAAGAGTGCGGTAGGGCGCATCGCTGACCACAAAGTAGTCAGCCCCGGGCCAGTAGTCATCATGATGTGGCCTTGTGCCCACAGAAATAGCAAGCAACACATAGGCATCATGTTGCGAGAGCTAAATAACTCGCATCTCGTCGACTGCATTTGTTGCACGGAAAAATGTTGCTGGCAAGAAAGCATCGTTCTTGGTGGGAAGCATTGATCATAATGCTTGCTTATCTTGTCGTGCAAGTCGTGTTCGAGATTCTCCTGAGGCTGGCCTGTCACATGCTCTCACGGTTTCCTGTCATGTGCCACAATGCCACATTCAATTCCGGGTGTGCTTCGGCAATCAGAAGTCAGGCCCGGGCAAGTTCATGAACACGTCCTGCCTGAGTTCGTGTGTTGCACATGCACATGAGCAAGGTTTCACCATAGAAGAAGGGCCTTTGGCTCCAGAAAAGGGTTTTTGATGCATTGTTCCTGTGATTTGCTCCTGACATTCCCCATGCAGGGGGTGAACTGCATTCAAAAGCAAAAGCCACATCCGAGCCATAACCTGGAGTGCCCTGCCATTTGCACAATAAATTCAACACCTGAAATCATGAATCCCCAAAGCAAAGAACATTCATGGTGAGCGTGTTTTTCCCCGAATTGGTGAGCCGGCGTTCCAGGCTGGTTGGGAAGACAGCACGAAGCTGGCGCTCGCCTGTTTCAAGACAACCATTTTCAAAGGGAAGTGCACTTTTGTGCACTTTTCCAAAATAGCTTTTCCGGAACCATGGACCAGCCATTTGCTTGTCTTCCGGAATGGGCACGTTTGCACCAGGGCACTCATCGTCTGGCTCCTCGGGCCGCTGGGCATCCTGCAGCGCACACAGATGGGCAACTGATCAGCAAAAGCCAACCTCCAAATGGCATTGAAAAACAAATTGGGCGGGCGGGGGGGGAACTGGTGATTTCCTTTTGGCTTGCTTACAAACCAAGCTGAAAAGGGTACCCTCCACGCCCCTCCAAAGTGGGAGGCTGACAGGAGGGGTATTGGAAAACATTCCTTTTGTGGAAGACCCTTGTCAACCTAGTAACCATTGAGGCACATCAGTGCCTGTACATCAGGACAGGATGTTTTGAGGATTACCCCGGCTTTCCCCTGAAGGTGTTGTGCCAGTTGGCATGGCCGCCCTTGCCGCTCAAAAGACTTCGGACAAAGTAATTTGGCCAACTCGTCCTGCGCTCGTGGACCATTCCAGGCCCGAAGTTGACGTGCCTGAGGCACGTGCAAGGCTTCGCCGAAAAAGCTTTGCTTTCGAGGATCAGGCGCAGTTTGGAGCCACATTGATTTGGACACATTTCAATTGAAGCGTTGCGAATACAGAATTGTCTGCGGACAGTTTAAAGAGCTGACAGGATGTGAACCTCACAAAAGCGAAAACGACTAACTCAACCTGTGCTGACAAATGAATGGAGCAACTTCATCACCAGAGTAACGCCCCTCACCCCTCAATGTCGACACGCTCTTGGAAAGCCGATGACCCCCCCCTAGAATAGAGATTGGAACAAGAAAGAAATAGAAACTCACTTATTTTTTTGCCGCTGGCAAAATCTATCTACAACTCTCTTTCCCTCTGCATGATTGCAGAATGCCATGGCGCAGCTGGACACACAGGATATTTAGCAACCAGAAATGCAGGAACGGCACAAAGACACGGCACAAAGTCCCACAGAAAGTCTCAAAAGTCAGAAAAAAGAACAGCAAAACCAGTGCGGAATGACAAAAAAGCATTGGGTGTCAAACAGGAATCCCCTCAAATGATGTTTTTTTACCGCGGTTTCCACACCCTCCAACACATGGCAATTTAAATGGCGTCAGCCTCTAAACTAAGTTTGAGGAGCAAGAGCATAAAAGAAACAAACCTTCCAGCTGGGACAGCCGCCATCACCGTGACGGCTGCATCCCCGTTGGCGCAGCGACGCCAGTCCACCTTCCGGGGACGGCATAGTTCCCTTGCAAAGAAACAATTTTGCTTTGGATGCCTAGGGGCTCCATAACCAGCTCTGGTGACCCCAAGTACACGGCGCATTGACCATAGATCAAGGGTCGAATTTTGTAAGCTGGCAGGCTCAAGTTGCGAAGACCTCATTCATAGGCTCCGCTGGTTTCCGAAAAAGGCGTGAGGACCTTTCAGGGATCCTAGTTGACTTTGACACAAGCTGCAGGGAGAATACCCAATCACGTCGCTGCTCTTGACAGGTGAGCAGGTGAACTGGAGAAGCTGGCAGCGCTTCGCATCAGGAATGCAAAATCATTACGCCGAGACAATAACTGCATCATGCAGCACCACTTGTCAAACAACAGATTACATGATTGAAATTGAAGACACTGCTATGCAACCTTCAGCCTGTCAGCATGATATGCAAGACGCACACTCCGCATGCTCACGTGGGCAAATTTATCTCTGGTGCATGTGGCATTCGTGCGTGCCAAGCAGCGCTAAACAATCCAAATAAGTGGAACGACAATTATATGTCGCAAGCACGGGCAACACATACACACAGACACACATCTTTCAAAACCTGAACCTGCAAACAAATGCAGCGACATAAGCATGAAAGCATGAGTGTCCGTACATCTATACTCCGTAGTGTCAATGAACTCTTTCTCTCCTGGCAGTGTGATGTGCAAACCTGGTATGCCACCAACCGAGTGCAACTTGCGGCCACACTGCCGTGCCCACTCCTGAGCCGCAAGGGACCAGGCTTGAACAGAATATCTGGTCGGGCCAGTTCCCTGTGCCCTGGTTTCACGTTGTAGCTCCTTTGTCCGGCAAATGACACAATGGCTGGGCGTGCAAAAGCATTCTGGCACGAGGCCTAAGAGCTGGGAAAACGCGGTCCCCAACTGTGAGCGAGCCTCTGGCAGGTTCTCGAGCACAATGTCGATAGCTTCTTGAAACCTGAAAACTCTAAGCATGCACAGGGTCATAGGAAGAATCCAACAAATCACCCGGTTCAGAGGGGTCCGCTAATCAACAGGCGAATATGATGCTCAACATGATCCACATATAGTGACTGTCCAGAACGTCTAAGTCTAAACTGCAAACGCCTTGGTCTGGAAAACAAAGCAACCGTCCTTACTCCATACAAAATGAAAGTACTTTGGAAATATTCCCTTTGGAAAGTGTAAGCATGTAGGCGCTACTTAAAATCAGGGACCGGTCTTCCAGCTTCAGCACTTGTGCTGGCGCCAATTCATGGCATCAGTGATCGCTGTCTTGGTGCTTCAACCCTAAACCACGGCATCAAATATTCATGGGGTATAGTGTTCTGGCATCGGTATAATGTGCTTGGGCCTCTCCCACGCGTGGCCGGGGGACGGTTGGGTTCGATATCGAAAGCAACCAACCTTTCAAGCCAAGTCGCTCTCGCGTAGGGACATATGTTGTGCTCAAACAGCCACTAGTGGCAACTCCATTGGCGATTAGCTCAAACCTGGGAGCAACTAGAGGCAACACAGCCTTGTTGGTATGTAGTACATATTCCATAAACAAAAATGGTGTGACTAACCATTGAGCTAGAACTATGTTGGAGTGAAAACAGCAAATAACGCTTGCCTGATACTGCTCCGCTTGATACTGCCCCCCACGGTATCCACTTACTATTTTGTTCACATGTCGGGCACAGCCCGGATACAGTGGGTTCATATCTGATTCGGTCCACCTCTTGGGAGCTTCTTTGCCCGTATTTGGACCTTTTGGGGTGGGGGGGGTATCTCCGCAAACTGACTTACGCTGGTGGTCGGGAACAACAACTCTCAACGCCCTAGTATCCCGGGGCTCCCTCGAAGGAAATTGAAGACTATGGTTTCACACCCGGAGAAAATAGCGGGCACCTTTGGGGACTCGGTTCATTTCGCCAACCCTCCAAGCCATGGTGGTACCCTCTGGCTCTATTCTGGCCAGCGCTCACTCAAGACAGGAGTCGACAGGAGTGCGGGTGTTTGCTCTGAAAGTGAAGGCTCCCATTTTCAATGAGACACCAGGGGTTCCCAAGAGTGAGCGAAAAACAATCACGAAGAGTGGCGGTCCAAGGGCCACTCAAGACAAAAGCAAGTCCTGCTTACCACCAATTCTGCAACTTACTAGTGGGTTCCAATGAAACTGCCACTTGTTTTTACAGTTTGGGTTTGCCTCCGGATGTTGTGACGTCAAGATGGTTGTCAGTCCTTTGACTTGCCTTTACACCTAACGAAAGGGTGCCCTTCTATGATGACCCCCGAGCCCATGACCTCAGGCCGCGGCTGAGCAAGGTAGTCGGGCAACTTTGGGCCGACCAATAAGAAATTGTCTTGACCTTTGGCGCGCCTTGGAACAGGTGCAAAACAAATCTGGAACAAAGACAATCGTCCCCATTTGGCTGCGTTCGGGGAAAGTACAGTTTGAGAAACGACTATATATATATATATACCTGTCTGCTTCCGCCGCCCATCACTGAGCTGCATCTCGCACTTTATCATGGCTATCCATTCCCGCGCACTTCCTCTTTCACGTGAAGAGGCCAGTGCAGTTGAGTTGGTAAATGGCACAATTCCAACCCATTCTAATCTAGTCATCCCTGTTGCTCACCCATTCAATACAAATACACACACACATATATATATATATACATATCATGTAAGTGTGCATGTACACATACACGTACAACAGGTGCCATCTACTCAAGGCCCCCCGCGGCTCTAGTGCCAGGGGCTGTGAGAAGAGGCGGTGGTTCAGCAGGAAGCCCACCGCCTGGCACCGGAAGAGGCCTCTGTCTTCGACTTGGTCACTTGACGGAACTTATGTTGAAACTGCTCAAGGCACCCTTTTTGAATATTTGTGAATTCAAATTTAAAAGGCAACATAAACTTACAAAAATTACATTTGATTTCCAACTACACGCCGGGAAGTGCTGAACGTACTCCCTAATAATAAGGACTGCTAGGAGTCTAGGCTTAGTATTGGGTGAATTGGAAGTAAAAGGGGAGAGGTCTGTTCTTTGGATTTGGCCTGCAACAAACCATACTCAGGGCGGACTAATGCATCCGGGGGAGCCGATTACTTTTCCATTGGGCATTTCTTGATACAGCCTCGCTTGGAGATGTAATTATGCCGTCTCCACTATCCGAAAACATGGTCACAGCGCCTGTAGGCCGCCAACTGTTGACAGGTCTTTCAAGGGTTTCTGAACGTCTCTTAAAAACAAACCACAAAAAAACTAGGGTTTTGACAACCTGAATGAACATTGTTGCCTTTGCAATGCCCAAGCTCGCCCCAGAATGGCATTGGCCAGCGTTTCGTCAAGGCGAAACGCCTTTTCTGACCAGGCATGGATGTTGATGAGCGGGTGCACTTGGGCGTGGGTTCATGGTTGTTACCATCTGTGGGCATGGATGCATTGAGGAGCGGGTGCAGGTTCGTACCACGGATGCAGTGAGGAGCGGGTGCACTTGAGCGTGGGTTCCCGCAAATGGATGCATTGAGGAGCGGGTGCACCTGAGCGTGGTTTCTTACCATCTGCGCGCTTCCAGGTTGTCCGGGCCAGAAACAGGTAAACCTGAACCCAGTCTAGCCGCTGCGCTCGTCGCGCCCGCCATGACTTGTGCGCTTTACTGCAGGGTCAAAGCTGTTAGGCGGAGCCGACATGTGGGCAACACCGACACCAGCTGCAAGCCTATCGTGACAAAGAGACGTGGCAAAACCAAGTCCTAAAAGTGACAACAGTCCCGGCGGGCTGGCGGGCGCCGCCACCAAAAACATGGCTGTGGGGAAAGGACATGTTGAACACCGTCTGGAGCAAGGAACCAGCTAGAGAAACACATAAGGACAGAAACAAGTTGTTCCCTACAACTTGCTGGCAGAACAAGTGTGTTAGCGCATATTACTTGTTTCTAACGCCTGGCTTGGTGGTTACTAACCCAATATACTGTACAATATGTATATACACGCACACACACACACACACGCCTGCCATCTAGATAGACATAGAGTATCAGGTTTTTGTCGGTTGTGCCAGGGTTCCAACATTTCAGTTCAACACACACACACACACATTCATGCGCCAAATGGGCCCATCCTAGGCACAAACAGTGCTTACCAATGAGGAAGGTCCTTTACTGCAGAGTTTCCTCGTGAAATCTGTTTGGGGCTTAAAGCAGTTTGTGCAAATATATCCCTTGCACACACTCCTTTGGGTAAAAGAGCCCCAAGGCTTGCTGTTGTTCACTTAAGATTTGGTCAAGGTGTTTCCTCTCAATCGTCTGCTTCAAGCTTGGACGTAGTTGTTGACTCTGTTTTCGTTGGTCATGACCTGAAGGCCGTGAGGAAGTTAAACCTAAACCTCAAATTTTGCTCTTCCCACAGTTCCGAAAAATGTAGCCATTAAACCAAAAATGTCCGCCCCGTTCAAACTATTTGGTGTGTTTTCGTTTGCGTTGAAAAACGAAACAAAAGGATTCCTAGTTGTGGGACTCCAGTATCCCCACTTCGGCCCCAGCCTGCACTGATGACCTGGGTCGCCAACAGGAAGCAAGGACACGTCGCCATTTGAGGCAACCATGGTAAGCACTATCCCCACCTACATAGTTTTGAAAGGACACCAAAGCGAAGCCACCAATTTTAAGGGTCCCCGAATGTGAGACAACCCCCCTCACGACCATTCAGGGCTACGGGCACCTTAATTAGTTCTCCGGTGATTCTGGTAACAGGGACCCTTTCTGGGCCACGTTATTTAGTGTGGAAACCAAGCAAAAGGGGAATAATGGTGCCACTGAACTGGGGAAATAGGGGAGGGCAAGCCCCGAATAAGAACTCCCTGTTGTGAAGTGAACAATTCGCGGGGAATACACCTTCACGACTCCAAACGGGCTATTTCTGACATGGCCGGGGAAAAAATGGGGGGCGGTTTTGGAGTGGAAAACCTCTTAGATTGTCAGAACCTGGCAGAAAGTGCAGTATGCTCTAACCTGAATGCCGTTGCTTGGATTCCTGAAGAAGCTGGCTACTCTAAGCGACCACATGACATGATGCCAAACAATCAATCAATCAATCAATCAATCAATCAAACAAGCAATCAATCAATCAAACAAGCAAGCAAGCAAGCAAACAAGCAAACAAGCAAACATAAAACTAACAAACATAACCAGCCAACCAGCCAGCCAACCAACCAACCAGCCACCCAACGAAGCAATCAACCGACAAACCAACCAACAACCCAACCAACCAGCCAACCAGCCAACCAGCCAACCAGCCAACCGCAGGCAACAAACCAAACCGACAAACGAACAAATCAACGAACAAGCAAGCAAACAAACAACGCACAATACGCACGGGTGCACCCATACCAGCCCTGGAGAAAATCACTTGAGCAACTCGCTATATAAACACGCCATGAGCCCTTCTGCTGTGGAAGTGTTCCTAGCTTTGCTTACGCGACCCATATTTTAGCTTACGCTGCAGTCAGCAAGCATGTCAAGCTCACGCGTTGCTTGTGCGTGGGCATTTTGCGAGTTTCCCCCTCAAGAATCGCCTCCGTGGGCTCCTTTCTCCATGCAGCCGCCACTAATCAAGATAACGTGGATGACAGTGAGGAAAAAGTTGATCAAGAACTGCTCTGAGGCGGATCAACGTTGCGCTGCTGTTCTTTTTGCTTTTGGATTTGGCCGCCAACTTTGCTTCCAGAGTTCGTGTTGCCTCCGCTGCGGCTTTTGCGGCATCATGGCGTGGGCGAACGGGCAGCCGTGCTAGGCAAGCTTACGCAAACCTTACGCCCCTGCTTATGCTTGCTTACGCGCCTGTGCTGAATCGCCGTGCGGAAAACGGCACATCCACAAGCCACCTGCTTTGCAAGGAGCATCGGATCCTCCCAATCGGCTGGGTTTTGGAAGACTTTCGTTTTGGGGAAGCCTGTCCGCTTCCTCGGGCGCAGGCCCAGGTGGCCGCGCTCTCCCCGACCGACCTGCGAAGCGGCTTCAGGGAAGGTTCCGTCTGGCAAGGTGTCTGGCTTTCTTGTTTGTTGGGTTCCTTGGTTGAGAGGGGAGCCTGTGAATAAGCATGGGCAAAGCTGGGCTGTTCAAACTGGAGTCCAAACAACTCGGGCACAAATGCGACGATTGACTCTCTGAAGTGCGCAACTGGCAAGCAAGGACAACTTGGCAATTCATCGGTCTTTGAGCTGCTTTGCTTGCAATAGCTAGGTCAGCTGTATCTTTGCCTATCCCCACCCCACCCGAATACATTGGCCAAACATGTATAGCCATACAACCCAACCCCACCCAACCTCACCCAACCCCACCCAACCCCACTGGGCCCACCTCCACCCAACCATCCAACCTTCCATCTATCCAACCTTCCATCTATCCAACCATCCAACCATCCAACCATCCAACCACCCAACCATCCAACCGCCCATCCAACCAACCAAGCCAATGCTTGCCGCATGGAAACAGTGCAAAAGTAAACTGAAGATTGTCAGCATGGGATACTTCAGCCAAAGCCCTGGTGAAATCTGGTGAATGTTTTCCCGCTAGTGAACAAGCGATAAATTCCCACTCGGTGGAACAGATTTCTGGCACTCTAGCCTGATCATGATCTTGGACAAATTATTTGGCCAATTCTTCCACTAAAATAGCACCTGCTGCAGGGTACCTCGAAAACAAATCCACTTGAAGGAAACCTCCGTCAGGTGGGTTGTGGACGAAGGCAGGCTAAGGTTGAGATGCTTTGCTAATACCAACTTGTTGTGCCAGGCTGAACCACTCCAACAACACAGCAGACAAGGTGGGCCTGCCATAGGTCGGCATCAGGCATAGCAAAAAGCTGGAAGCCGACACATCTGGAATCAAAGCCTGGTTTGGAGATGCCAAGCTGTTCGTCTGAGTGTGAGCCGCTCTTGGGGTCTTATTGCATGGGGTGAAGATGGGTGAAGGACAACATGTCATAGAACTGCGTTCAACTTCTGCCAAACCCTTTGCACTACTAATTACAAACCTCAGCTTCTCTGGAGAAGCTTGAACTTGATGTGGTTTCGTGCCTTGCCCTCGGGCGCACCAAACAACTCACCGCTGACACACATCTAAGTGGCGGCCAGCTTGGGCCAAAAGCTGGCTGGCCTGCTGCTGGCGCTGATGCCCGCGAGGCGAAAGTTCAGAGGCAAATTGGTTGTGTCAAGGAACACAATGTGCCAACGAACTCCCCCCTCCCTCTCCCTCTCCATCCTCTCCCCTCTCCCCTCGCCCTCTCCCTATCCCTCTATCCCTCCCACTCCCTGCCTGTCTCTGCCTCTCCCTGCCTCTGCCTCCCTCTCCCTCCCTCTCCCTCTCTCCTCCTCTCTCTCTCTCTCTCTCTCTCTCTCTCTCTCTCTCCCTCTCCCTCCCTCCCTCCCTCTCCCTCCATCTCCCTCCCTCTCTCCTCCCTCTCTCTCTCTCTCTCTCTCTCTCTCTCTCTCTCTCTCTCTCTCTCTCCCTCTGTCTCGCTCTCTCCCCCCGTTCTTTGTATGTCTCTCTAATTTATCTACTTTTGCTGTTTTTTTTGTCTCTCTCTCTCTCTCTCTCTCTTCATCGCTCTTTGTCATGTTCGTTCCTCTCTCTGTCTTTCTCTTAATCTTTCTCGCTCCCTCTCTCTATTTCGCTCTCTTTCTCTCTCTTCATCTTTTGCTCTCTCTCTCTCTCTCTCTTTCCCTCTCTCGCTCCTTTGCTCTCTTTCTTTATTTCTTTCTTTCTTTCTCTCTCTCCCTCTTTCTGTCTCTTTCTTTCTTTCTCGCTCTCTCCCTCTCTCTCTCTCTCCCGCTCTCTCTCTCTCTCTATTTACCTCTCTTTCTCTCTCTCTTTCTGAATTTCTGTCTCTTTCTCTCTCTCTCTCTCTTTCTCTTTCTTGTCACTCACTCTCTCTCTCTCTCTCTGTTCTGTTTCTCTCTCCTTCCTCTGACCAACCTGAATTCAGGAATGTCCAAGAAAGGTACCTTCAACACATGTGAGTTCGTCTTACCCTCACGCAAGCCCACTACAATTGGTTGTTGCAAATCATATTGAGGCCCCCCGGGATACAAGCTTCATATATACTCATAAGACGCATAACCCTTGAATACCCGACTTGCATCTATTTGTACTTTGCTTCCCACCACACATTTTCTTGGGCCACGTCCCGGCATGGTGTCGTCTTCTGTGCATCAGGGGCCCACTGTGCTTGAAATATGCGCTTTCGGCGTACCCGGGAAGTCATGGAACTGAGAAACAAAGAAAACCACGCATACCTCCAAATGCCTGGACACACAAAGCCTGCACGTGCAAGGATTCCAGGAAAGCATGTGAGGGGCCCAAGGTCAACAACAAAACAAGGTGCGTAAAGCAACAAGGTAAGCCGAGCAATGGGTGCAGGACAAGCTCTTCGAAAAGCACATGCTCTGAACTCGCATGGCCGTCCGGCCCTCCAACCATTCTCAAACCCTCTTTTTCCTCGCACGATGCACGAGGCAAGCACCTTGGGCCCTCGCCCTTAGCGCGATTCAAAAGGGGAAAAAGGGCGTCGCACTCTCGGTCTGCACCCCAAGAAGTGGTTGGAATTGGAACTTATCACAAAACACCGTTGAAAGAAATAGACGCCCCATTTCGCGTTTCGCCCTGGTGTGCGTGCGTTCCTCTGTTCGTCTGCCCGTCTGCGAGGCACCATGAGGGTGTGCCTGACCTGAAAATGCGCCGCCAAAAACAGAGATTCCCTAAACATGTGGGTGTGTCTCTAAATAGGCGGACCGCCCAGGTGGTTTGCCTTTTGACGAGACACCCCCGCTGCTACTTTTGATCTGCAAGCAGCATGGGGGAAAATGAGAAAACCGGTGCCAGACTCAGGGTTCGAACCCCCTATTTCAAGCTGATTTTAAGACATACCCACGTGGCAGTTCGACGGCTAGGACTCGGAAAAAAGACGGGGCGTACAGACGCCAGCGCAAGTTTTTCGGGATACAGCGCTTTTAGCGCTGATGTATGCAAATGTACAGGGATGCCTGACCGGAATACTCTTTACAGGTTGGCAGTTGCCAGTCAAGGGCCGGGAGTATTCGGACTTGGGGCTTGCCCGCGCGCTCACTTTTTCAAGCCAATGCCTTTGGCATGGCCAATGCTGTCAAAAGGATTACAATGAATGCGCTGTTGACCTCATAGAGCATTTCGGAGGGGTATCGCCTTACTTGCCCAGTTGTGGGACAACAAATCTGCTTGTGTGGGTTGATGTCAAGGCATGACCCACCAAAAACATCCAAAAACAGCAAGGGCGCTACTGAAGTGCAAGTCGAAGTCACTTGTCCTGTCCCGCTCCTGCTCTACCACCAGCTCGTTGTGCACCTTGGTCGGCGTTGAATGAAGTTCAACCCAACAAGCAAGACTTTAGCATATGTCAGTGCACGAAACAATTTTGAAACGACAACATGTAGTGTTGCACCTGGTTTGATACAGGTTTCTGAACATCCGACTGTTTTGCACCGCCCGTTATGTCAAACAAAAACGGAAACTTGCCCAAATCCTTGCAGCTTTCTATTCTGTGGGTCTCCCGTGCCTCGGGCCGTCTAAACCCAAGCCCATCCTAACCTGAACTCAATGCTAACAACCCTTTCTGTGTAGGGTGAGGAATTCCCATGACGAATTACTTTATCACTTGGGATTCCCTCATGATCACGGAAACTGGCCGTAAACTCTAAACTCCAGCTTTCCACAATCATGATCAAACACCCGCCCCCGGTGGGTTCCTGGATTCCTTCCACCATGGGAAGCTAAGGTATCCCGGAAAAGGCGCCGTGAACATGCGCCGCACCAGGTCCTGCAAGCTGCGCTGGCGCTCGCTGAGCAGCGCCAAATCCAAGCCCCGAGCAGGGCCCTGGAGCTTCGACACACCAGCCACCAGCTCCTGTGATTGGCAGGGCATCCGTAGCAACCGCTTTCTGGCTTGGAAACCAAAAACCTGGTAAAGCAAAAGTGGTCTCACCGTGCTTTTTCCCGGGTTGAATCACTCTTGAGTTTGGGGTCCAAAAGGAATCCACAAATTCGGGATGGGGACGACACCAAGGAGCCGTGCATTTTCCCCACGAAAGCCCTGGAGATCCTCCAGGGTCAGACTATCGCTGCCGTCTGAGTCCTCACTTTCGCTTGGGCGTGTTCTTCAAACGCCAAAAAGGGTCAGGAAATGGAGAGACGTTCGCCGTGTACACAAACTCAAATCGACATATCTGCGAAGTCCACAAGAACTCGAAAGCAAGACATGGTGAGCTCGTGTTACCCCCAGCAAGCTGGGCGCCAGCTGGTTCGAGCTTGTCAACATCCAGTATCAAATCAAAGAGCAGCCAAGTCGCCAACAAGTCAAAGACCGCCTCAGGGTCTTGCATTGAGAGGCCTTGCGCTGCGAACCAGTGCAACGTAGCAGGCCTCGCCATGACCTCTACCCATTCAGCGCGGGTGATGTTGGAATCCCCTGACTGGTCCTTATGCCCCAGTGGCCAGAGGAGAAAAGCATGGGGCGAATCAAACAGAAGCACACCTGCAGAAAAAGGGTGTCCTTGTAGTACGGGGTTCGTGACAAAATTAATGCACATATTGGGCAACACATACCCAAGGCAAGCTACCAGAAACAAGAAAAAAGGTACCCTCCCACCGGGTGCCACTGGGCAACAGTAAGCTGGAAGAAGGTCTTCATCTTCTGGGCGTGGATCTTCTCTCTCCGTGCTACATCTCTCATCATGATGACATCATCCGACTGTGCCACCTTCATCGTCTCTTGCATAAAGACTCCTCACTTGCAAAGCTTCAAGAAGTTGACACTCCAAAACGATCCCTCCCCGGGACCTTTGCATGAAAACGACCGAGCATAGACCTAGAAACCACACGGCGCGAAGATTGACTTGCGCAAAGCGCAAGTGAGACTCCGTTGATGACCCCGATGCAGGCAAAGCCAATGGTGACCTTGTGGAGGATCGTGAAAATGTTCATGACTGGACCTGTTCAACGCATAGTATATTTATAAATTGTGTTGTTCTGCAGCCCCCCCCAGACTAAAAAAAGGAACTAAAAACAAAACAGCGTGCCAAGAACAGTGAAGGGGCTTACAATCTCCTGCAAGACTCTCGCCACTGGAACCCACGTGCCCAGGGTAAACTGAAACATGGTCAGCATGCATCTGGGGAAGGTGCCGAAGTACTGAAAAAGAGCCATCTCATCCTCCATCGAGAATCTGGCAGGGTTGGGGCAAGTTTCAACACCTGTCATTTCCACAGCTCCCTTTCGGTTGTCTTTTCCTCTATTTGCTTAAGTCCACTGGAAACACGTCGTAAATCCAGTAGTGATAGATTCCCTTTTAAACCAACCTGGGAAATTAAACATGTTCGTAAGCAAATGGAAGTTCAGGGGACACCAGGGGCTGGCTGGTTGAACTCATTTTGGCCACCCTGACCTGGCGTCTTGCCCGACCAGGCTCACCAAAATCTGGTTCAGCAGCAGCGCAAAAAGGAGCTCCACCACTACCATGATCACCGCAACCCACAGCAAGGCATTTACACTATCCTGAGCTCAAGCTCCGGCCTGCCAAAAGGGGGAACCCCGATATATATATATATATATATATGTATGTATTCAACAAAAAAAAAGGAAACAAAGAAGAAAAAAAAAACCGCTTGCATATTACGCAAGAGCTCTCGAACTACATGCGCCGTGAGGCTGTGTCTGGAGCATCCGAAGAATCAAAAATCTGTGTGTTGTGCAGTATCAATGGCCGATCTCTTCAACTGCGCGAGTTTCGCAAGATCTGCTGTCGTTGCGGCTCGCAGTCAGGCAAAGCAAAGCACCGCTCTGATATACCACTTGAAGAAATGCAATGTGCGCGAAATGCTGCACGGGTGCTATGCTGTGCGATGTGCGCAATGCTGCGCGGGTATGGCCAAATGGTCAAACGCGCGTGTGTGTGTGTGTGGTGTGGTGTGGCGTGGCGTGGCGTGGCGTGGCGTGGCGTGGCGTGGCGTGGCGGTGGTGTGAAAAGGGTGGTGTGTGGGTGTGTGTGTGTGTGGCTGTGGTGTGTGTGTGTGTGTGCTTGTTGTGCTGTTGGGTGTGGCGGTGCATCTGTGCGTGCGGTCTTTGTGTCTTCGGACCCTACATCGGTTATCAGGGCAGGTTGTGTGGGGAAAGGACAGCGCATGCAAACTGACCCAATTGAGCCACTGTTTGGGATTGACGCTTGTTTGCGGGATTTTGCGGGTGCTTTGGAGGTCTTGGCGATCGAAATGGGCTAAAAGTGGTACTGAAAAGAAACAAGAAACATGCCTCACCCGAAACGCATGTTTAGAACAAAAGAAAGTCCGCACACAGCTAGGATTGAAAGTGGTTGATGGAGGGAAGGGATTGAAGGATTGTCGAGTTCAAAAACTGCAGAAGATTCGAACATCCGGTTTGGTGAGCAACATCAAACCGAATGAGAGAGAAAACGCGCACTGTGCGGCAAGGCAACACCCAACAATTCCAACTTCCAGAGGTCTTGGTCGTTGTGCTATAAACGTGGTACGAAACAGTTCCGAAACAGCGAAGTTGATGCTATGACAAAAGCGCACACACACACACACATTTTCAGTCGCTTGAAGCTGCAGGGAAAAAGGTAGAGGTTCACAGAACACAAGAAGAGGGAATTTAGACGGTTGGGGGTGTCCAAAAACTGGAAAAGGACGCCGGGACATCAATCAGCACAAGGATTCCGATCCAAAGAATCCCCCCCGAGCACATCAGCCAAGCCACCTGAAGCGCTGTCGTCATGACCTCGGAGAAGCGTCCAACCGACATGCTGCCGATATCGGAACTTAGGAATTTACATTGTCAGGCCCATGCCGGGCTGTTCACGTGGACCTGGGGACCAAAACCCAAGAGAAGCACAGCAATTGACCCAAGCCATGCCCCTCAGTGGCAGGGGGGAAACGATGGGGTGGGTCCTTTGACACAGCTTGCATTTGCCAGCGCAACATTGAACGCATCGAAACTGACCAACACCTGTTGTGATGTTCCCCCGGGGATGACTCGGCTGCATTTGGTCGGTGGCACAAGACTAGTTGATTCAAAGGAAAAAGCTGCCGGCCTTGATCGAGATTCGCTTAACAATGATGTAAAGGATGACCGCTGGTGCATGTTTGCAACAAACAAGGTGTTGGCTGTGTAGCGGAGTTGGGCATTTGAGGGGCAATTGCAATTGGGCAATCCTTTCATCCAAGCGATCTGCCCTCTTTTTGTTGCTTTGGTGTCAGCTTATTTTTGGTATGCAAGACGCTCGCAAACATGACCGTCCCAGACACGTCAGGTTGTCCACGCATGCCTCGCCCCCACTCTTCAAGGGTGGCAAACCGGAGGGTGATGTCAAACTCATCCCAAATCAGGAGTTGTCAAGGCCAAGACATTGTTTGGTGTGGCTCAAAATGAGGGCAACCCAACAAAAACGTGGTTCCTTTTTGCCTTCCTTTCAAACCCAGGCATGGAACTTGAAAGGCACCGGCCCCTCTTGTTTCCAGGTTTGGCTGTTTTGGGTAGACCACACGCAGCCAAGGCAAGCTGCGATCAGGGAGTCGAAGCCCCTGATGGCGCGCACCAGCTTCACCAGCCGCAGGAGGCGCACCAGCCGGATCCTCAGATCGAGCTCAGGGGACTCAGCTGCTAATTGGGCATGTGTCTTTTGGATCTTTTGAGCAGTTCACATCGCTCTTTTGGCCTCGCAAAACACGGCCTATTCTGTCGAAAAGCTCGAGCAAGCTCACTGGGAGAGCCCATGGGGGCTGCAAGTGCTGTTTAGGGCTTGGCCCAGGAAAAGCCAACTTAGCAAAGCCAGCCCCCCTCACTCCTTGAAACATCACCCTCGTCCAAAAGAAGCCTTTGGCATTGGCCCAACATTGGTAGTGCTAAAACTAAGTTTCCACGCAAAGAGGCAGTTTTCCACTGGTTTACATCAAAACAGCCTCCACACAGCCCTATTTTTCACAACCCTCAGACACCACGTGGCAAGTGTCAGGCGCAAGTGCGGGGTGTTCATCGCCACCAGAGACAGGGCCATGTCGCACACCCACAAACCCACTAGAGCAGCGTCGAACCAGCACCAAGGGTCACGGAGGTACTCCTGGGGCTGAGTGCTTGTCAACACCATGAAATGGCAAAGTTGTATCTTGTAGGGAGCCCTGCTTGCTGTTCTGGTGTTTCCCCTAAAAGCGGCAGCTATGAAGTCTTAGTCCGTCCTGTTTGGAGAACTTTTGACATAAGTATCTTGCATCTTTTAGCTTTGGGGGATTGGGTCTCTCCAGACATGGTTCTGTATCAACGTGGTGAACCCCGTGGACGGGCTTCAGGATCACCAAAAGGAATGCAACCTCAGATGGTCCCCATAAATAACTTAAGGACGCCCACACTTGCGGTCCAGGAAACACTTGAGCTGCAAATGAACTTTGATGGACAATTTGTAAACACGCTTGAATTGCGTCGACAGCTACAAACAAGCAGTTGCATCTCTCAGTTCTTCAGGATTTTTGGCTGCCTTCGCAAAGCTTGATTGCATCCGCCCTGAGCCCTGTAAGCAAATGATGTTTGTCACTTGTGTTTTGAGGGTATTATTGTTAGGCAACAAAACGAAATCACGCAATTTGGGAGGTAACCCCTCATCTATGATCTATGGACAAGCCATGCTGCCTCAATTGAGCAGTGCCTAAGATGCCTGGTTCTACCAGACTCGTTGCTAAGGTAAACATAGCTTGTAATTAGTTGTGCTACAATTCCAGCAAAACTGGGCGAAGCGCCACTTTTGGATCTTGGGCGCCACGAGGGCAACTTCCACGCCTTTCCCAGGCCGCAGAACTTCAGGACCACCTCCACGCCGAAGCAAACCCCAAAGACGAACTCCACACCCCGCAAAATTTCCGGAACCACCGGCCAAATCTCGGCCGCCGGGGAGTCGTAGCCGTCATACTGCAGCCGGTGGCCCCAGTCCAAGCCGGTGTACTGTACCTCAAACTGGGTGTCGATTGGAAGGGGTGATTTCTTGGGGAAATGCGAGAGTCCCATCCCTACTTTGTGACTTGAAATGGGGCTTCCCTTGAATGGGCAATTCCCCGCACCGAATTTCGTCTCAAACTGCCCAGGCAGTCACCTGGTCCAATTAAGACAGCGAACTCTAAATCAGAATCCTCAAGCCAAAACAGCCCCTAACCCAAACCCTCCAGCCGAAACGGAGGTTCCTTACATTTGTCTGAAAAATTACCTGCTGGGATGTGTCCTTTAAAAGCGCCCTAAAACAGGAGCTCAACGCTGGGCCTCCACTGCCATGGCCACAGCCTGCAAGAAGATGAGGCAGGCGAAGAAGACCTGCAGGTTCGAGGTGAATCGCCACTTGTGGCTGGTTGACAGACAGGGAAAACGACGGATAGCCAACAAGCAAAACGTCGAAAAGCTCATGAAAGTCTGGCAACCAGAAATCGTTGGAAGCCGTGGGACACAACTTGTGGTTTTGCTGTAAGGCCAGTCAAAAGGGGAGTTGTAACCTGTGAGAAACAACTGGGCATCCAACTAGGAGACCGTAGGTTTCCCTTTGGTTTCCATTTAAAGCAACCCACAAAAGTTACCCTCCAAAAAACACACACACACACAAATTCAAACCAAACGGATCCAAAAAGGGCCGTACCTTTTTCGATTCTTAAAAGCAAAGTCAAAATATGTCAAAATCCTTTGATTGTCCCTTCAAACCAACCCAAAAAGAAGCAATCCAAAGAAGACACATCCCCACATAACCCATGTCACGTCACCTCGAAGACGAAGGACTGCACCAAGGGGACCGGATGCCAACAGGGTCTTTGCACAGACGGCACCCTCTCCGCAGTCAAGGACTCCTGGCGAGAATCCGAGGTCGGTAAGATCCCGAGGTCGGTACGTGAAAGGGAACTTTCCTATTTTAAGGAACCCCCCCACCTCCGAACCACGAATCCAAACCAGATTGGGTCAAACTAGGGAGACACCCAAAATGACCGCTTGTCTGCCCCTGGCAGCTATAACTATTTTTGAGCGAATGTAACCTGCACCAAGTGACTCCCCCGCATCATGTTCCTCATATGGCCTCCCTGTGAAGACCAGCCCTTTTCTCAATAGGAGCCCGTCCCGCCTTCAATGATGAAGCACTTCTGGTCAGACGCATCCTGCAGGGGGCGCAGGGCGCCCTTTGAGCATTGCAGCAGATATCGCATGGAACACATGGGCATGGGGCCCGCACAAAAATAATAAACATGTCCCCAATAATGGACTGGCCGCTCTCAGCTCCACAAAACCCATTCCGCCCCGAATCCTATTCTGGCCAAATCGCTTAAGCAGTTTTCGTCATAGGTGAGCTCATCTGACCAACCCGGTTTCCCTTTCAACATCATCCCAAAGAGAAACCACTGGTGATGTTTAACGAACATCCGAGCGGTAAAATATCTGGAGACCACGGAGCTCGTTTGCCCATCCTCGGCTTCTCCTTGGAGGGGACCTTCGACACCTCGCTCGGGCCACTGCGCTGGCTCTGCCGGCTCCCGGAGGAGCTGAACTTAAACTGCATCATCTCCTGGCTGCTCCTCGAGCTGACGTTCCAGATCCGGTTTACCATTCGGTTTGGCGTTCGGAGGACAACATTCAAAAGGGTAATCAGAAGGAACAATTACAACAAGTGTAACACTCGTGCTTTCGCGTGGCTTGTTGCCGATTTGTTTTAAGGCACACAACAAAAAGAAAAGCGCAAACGGTTGCCACTGGACAAATGGGGTGCTGCATCATGCTGTCCAGCTCATTCCTGGGTCGAGGATGACAGACAGAGCACGTGCAACCGGTTCCACTTTGGCTCTGTTATCAAAAATGCATCCTAGTTGTTTAAGCCTACGTCCCTGGCACAATGCAAAGCACACCCTAGATCTACCCACATGGAAGGGGGCGAAATGGTAAGCCATGGGGACAGGCCAAGGCAACCCAGGCCTGGACGGGACAAAGAAGAACAAACAGAAAGAAGAAGAACACTACAAATAACAATAAGAAGCAGAATTAGTAGAAGTAGACGTAGAACAAGCACTAACAAACACAAACATGATAAAACACAACTCATAAGAATAACTAGAACGAGAATACAAACAAACACAATGGCAGCGGGGCAAATTGCGGGAAAACACAAATAACACACACTCAGCACAGCAACACCAACACCATATCGATAGCAGCAACACCCTGCTACTGCAAACGCACCATCTGCAAAACAAACTCACAGCGCGCGACAATGACCACTGACACCGCCGCCACGGCTAGACCACCAAAGCCTGAGACATGCTGTCACAGGCGCTACCACCATCACCACAGCAGCAGCAGCAGCAGCAGCAGCGTCATTGGGCAACATCTGGGATGTCAACAAGTTAGCGTTGGACTGGTAAGACGGCCACGGGGCATAAGGACACACAGCACAAAATGTGCCTGGGCAACTGTAGGCTCACCAGTGACCTGCAGCGTGTTCCTCAAATGCATATATATCATATACCTTCACCACCTTCCTGCGCGTCAAAGTCACTGCCAAGTGAAAGAACTGTCCTTTAGCATTATTTGTTTGTGGAAGTATTCGTGCAAATAGCTCATTTACGTTGTCATGGAGAGAACCATTTGGGCTGCCACTTCTTTCGCCCAGCAGCAGGGCGATTGGTTTGAACATGTGGGACGCAGAGGAGGGAACTGCCACCGCGGCTTCTGCCTCCACCGCCGGCATCGCGGGAGCCGTGTCGTCGGGAACGTCAGTGTCGACGCTTAACTCTGCGACAGCATCGGCGACGCGCATCTCTGCCAGCAGCTGCACATGCTGGGCCTTCGAAGTTTTATGAAGATAGATCTTCACAAATCAGCATGGCCCAAGGATAGGTTACATGATGGGAAGGTTTCCCCCATGGACCTTACGACTGACATGACCAACTAAACTGCTGGCTTTGAACTTACCCTTGCGAGTTGTGGACTTTGGCGCATAGGGGGCAAAAGCATTTCAATTCCTTCCGTTCTTATGGTGGGTCTGAATCAATTTGTCCTTGTTTAGCGGCCCAGTTGCCCAGCGACTGATCGAAAAACATGGAACCCTTCTTGGGGCCAGAGCCATGTTTAGTGGGCCTCGCCCTGAACCCACCCAACAAAACCGAAGAAAAACAACAAAACTCGTTGTTTGCGATTAAACCAGTCTTCCTGCAATCTTAAAATGACGCCCGACAACATCCGGCCCGAACGATGGGCATTGGTTGGATTCCCAAGACTGCCTTCGAACACAAACACAAAACCCACAAAACACATAGCCTAACCAAGCACACAACCCCGAAAAACAAACAACAAACAAACCAACAACCAACCCAGCATCTTGACACTGAAAACATGCCCCCCAAAAAAGACACCGGACCATGGCGAAGCAACAGCGACTGCCGACATTGTGGAACATGCATGCGCCTTGGTGTAATGCTCAAGTCACTTCCAAGCAATATTCCCCATGCACGTCATATTACGTCATTCCCTCATCACATCTGCCTCTTTTGAGGACACCCTTTAGGCGTTCAAGGGAAACCAAATGAAGCCCATCATTTTGCAGAGTTTTCCAACTTTGGGATTTCTGAATCCAGGATGCTCCAGGCGTTTTGTAGAAACCGGTTTCCCCAAATGGACTCAAAGCCGGGCCGGCCGTTGCCTCGAGGGAGCGGCGCTGCTGTGACAGGCGCAGCTCCAGGCGCTCCAACCACGCCAGGCGCTCCGTCCTTTTCGCGGTCGTCTGTGGTCGAAAAGGGGTTCATGATGAAAGACAACTGTAATATATATATATATATGGTCACCCCCCCCTGCATGACCTACCGTTGTCTTTCAAAAAGTCGTTGGGGACCATTAGCAGACAATAAAAAGTGGAAAAAACACCTGTTTTTATGGTGTTTGATTAAAAAACAACACAGTCAACCATTGAAAAATTAAGAAAAACCAGTGTGTTTTGATGGTTTTAGCAAAAACTGTGCAAAAACCCATGGTTTTTTTTAGAAACAACAGGAAAGCATTCAAAAAAAACAAGTGTAAAAACTGATATGGTTTTCAGATAGATCCCTAAGTCAAAAACCAAGAATTCCCTGGGTGTTTGATGGTTTTGCAGTAAAACCTACAGAATTCCTTGGGTTTTTAGCATTTTTCACATAAAACCAAGAAAACCTCGAGAAAACCAAGAATCCAAGATTTTCAGGTAGATGTTTGGTCCACTACAAAATCTTGGATTCTTGGTTTTCTCGAGGTTTTCTTGGTTTTCTTGGTTTTACTTGGGAATTCTTGGATTTCCAGCAAAAAACCAAGAATTACTGAGTTTTTTGGATTTCCAGCAAAAAACCAAGAATTACCAGGGTTTTGGATTTCCAGCAAAAAACCAAGAAAACCTCGAGAAAACCAAGAATCCAAGAATCCAAGATTTTCAGGTAGATGTTTGGTCCACTACAAAATCTTGGATTCTTGGTTTTCTCGAGGTTTTCTTGGTTTTCCCGGTTTTACTTGGGAATTCTTGGATTTCCAACAAAAAACCAAGAATTACTAGGGTTTTTTTTGGATTTCCAGCAAAAAACCAAGATGTACTAGGGTTTGTTTGGATTTCCAGCAAAAAACCAAGAATTACTAGGTTTTTTTTTGATTTCCAGCAAAAAACCAAGATTTACTAGGGTTTTTTTGGATTTCCAGCAAAAAACCAAGAATTCCCAAGTAAAACAAGGAAAACCGAGAAAACCTCGAGAAAACCAAGAATCCAAGATTTTGTCGTGGGCCAGACATCTACGTGAAAATCTTGGATTCTTGGATTCTTGGTTTTCTCGAGGTTTTCTTGGCTTTCTTGATTTTACTTGGGAATTCTTGGATTTCCAGCAAAAAACAAGAATTACTAGGGTTTTTTTGGATTTCCAGCAAAAAACCAAGATTTACTAGGTTTTTTTTTTATTATTTCCAGCAAAAAACCAAGAATTCCCAAGTAAAACAAGGAAAACCGAGAAAACCTCGAGAAAACCAAGAATCCAAGATTTAGTCGTGGGCCGGACATCTAAAACAACAGAAATACCAGCACCAACTGAAGACGAAGAAGAAGAACCACAAAAAGATACTTTTGAAAAAATAAAATCTTAATAATATCATATATAATGGGTATTGGCAAAAGTAAAAATAATGAAAATAATAGTTTGGAAGACATTAAGAATTTAAGTATAGATGAAAAAACACGAGCAGACACTTTAATTATTAAATCTCTTCAAGAATGTGTGACACGAATTGAGAAACTAGAGAAAGAAAAATCTGACAAATTCATATATAAACTTCCTGCCTTACAATTTTGCAATGCTTCGTTAATTTAAATTAATAATATTAACATATAATAATATGATTGATTGCTGTCATAATCTGTCATTTTATCCTCTGGTATTGTTGTTGAAGTAGTACTACTTAAATCATCTATTAAATCTTCTTCATCAACAAAATTATTTTGAAATCTTAATAATTCCTCGTCTGTTGCCCTTCTTTTCAATACTTTATACAGTTTATGTATCCAAGAATTAGTATGAACATTACAATTACCTCTACGATAAAATCCACCACATCTACATAGTTTCATTGGCATATTACTATATTATATTAAATTAGAATATCTTTATTCATCATTCGTAATTTGAAATGCTTGTTCAACTCTGATATGAAACATTTTGTTAATGTCTTTAGCATTCATATTTCTAAAGTTTTTTACTTGGGCCCTTGTTATGGGCCGCTAATGGCTGAAAAATACATACACTATATATACCTGTTATGTATTGGGTACGTAGCACAAGGACCAGGTGGCTGGATGTGTGCGTTTCTCAGCTGCTGCCTCTGGAGTAGCAATCTTTGACGACAGCAATCTTGAAAGGTTCCAACTCCATTGGGACTCTTCGTGCCAAGCCCCCAAACCCCGGTCCCAAAAATAGGGGGGCCCATTCAGGAAACCCACTGGCACAGACAGTTTCCTGAATGGGCCCCTATTTTGGGAACTCAGATGTTTGGGTCCTTGGTTGCCCTTTTGCTGAAATCAAACTTGCAGATTTGCGTTCGTTGGAACTATCGTCTCTCTGGCCAGCAAACCACAAAAATAATGGCCCATAACAGTGGCCCATGTAAAATTCTTTAGAATATTCACGTAGAAGAAACTATAAGGTGCGTCATTAACGGCTTGATGATACATATCTAATAATTGCTGTTTATCAACAATGGCGTTATTTTCTTCAATAAAACTCATTAACTCACTTGCATTTTTCAACCTAAAAATATATAATGAACTGGCATTTAAACGAATGATAGGCACTAAAACATTATATTTGTGTGTTGAACAAATTACACTTACTGCATCGTGCCTGCCTCTTGTAAAAAGTCCGTGTAATAATTTACTATATCTAACAAATTTAGGATCGTCTGCGTGGTCATCTACAACGATTAATATTGAATGCGTGGTCATCTATAACGATTAATATTGAATGTAGTTTCTTTATCTTTTTAGACTTCATACAATTAATTATTTTCTTCTGTCTTTCAATTACATTTTCTAAATCAATTGGATTATAATTATCAAAATAAATTTGTTCTTTTTCATCATCCACGTGCAATTCATCTCTGATGTATTTTTTAACTTCTGTAAAAGTTGGGTCATTATGAACGCTGGGGGAAAATATAAATATTGTTGCAAATGAATTTCTATAAACATTCAAGATAAGGTTTTGGACTAAAACTGTTTTGCCTCCCGTCGATGAAGCAACTATAATACTTCTAAATGGTAATTTTAGCACGTGCTCATATTTGGATTGTTTGAATTCATATTCAGTTATGTTTATTGGTTTTATTATTGGGACATCTGTCATAGTTGATATTAAAGAAATTTAGAAAATTATATTTAAAAATTAACTTGTCATTAATATTAAATGGAACATCATTATGTTATGAGTGGCGGTGAATAACATAATGGAACAGGTTTTCCATTGCTTCAATCAATAAGCATTGAAGATAATTAGTTTTGTGTCTTGCTCGCGTGTGCAATGAAAACCAAGTGCTGTGCCCCACCAATAGCGATGAAGGGAGGGGCAAATGATAGATGAGATCCTGCTTTTTTTAGCTAAAAAGGTAGGTCATGCAGGGGGGGGTGAGCATATATATATATGTATATCTTCATGGTATTTTTACAAACTGTGTTATATATATATATGGTAAATAAACAAAAAATGAAAAGGGCGGCCCCTCCAGAAACATGTTGAACGCAGCGAACCACCGGGAGCATCCCCAACAGATCGTCCAAGTGATTTTGACACCAACAGAAACCCATGCACCCAAAATCATTGGCTGTGTTTGAGGGTTCTGAGCATACCTTTGGAGCTGCCCCAAGCCTCCCATGAGGATTCCTTTCAGACCGGGCCCGGATATGCTGTGCTAAGCATACGTAGGGAGTTTCGACAAAAGCATCTATACGGATTCAAAGCACAGAAGCGGGGGCCATTGCAACGGTGACGCTTTTCAGAGTCATTAAGGACCATTTACGGCTATACTTCCCATGGCTCCCTTTGCTACAGCTCTGTATTGGAAAATGGGCCTCTGCCACGGCTGAGTGTCCATTTGAAAGCAAGTCCCCTTCTAACCGCCCCAAGAATTCATCGCCAACCGGAAGGCTTTCTTGAAGGATGGACATGGAAGTAACTCAGAGTTCTGACGATTTCTGCAACTGCCAGGACCCTTCCGTGCGAATGATTTAGCGCACACGAAACCCACCATTTGGAGAGTTCTTTTGCAGGGTTCTTGAGACGTTTTCGTGGCAGGATGTGGCCCCGGCTCCCCAAACCGGATTCCTTGTTAATGGGTGCCTATCACGCAAGGGTAAACTTACGTGGCCACCTTTCAGCACAGAGTCGACTCCATGGGAGTCCAAAAGCGCAGGCTCCACTCTGGACGCCTACAATTGAAGCCTGAAATGTTGCGGACACGGGAGATGTGCGAAGGCTTGTTGAAGCCAATTCAACACAACTGGCATGCTGACAGCCGGCAAAATTATCTACTACATAGGATCTAGGAATCATGGGCTTATACTCACTGGCGGCGAAATAGAGCCTGGCTAATGACCCTGGTTTAGTCATTCCCCTAAAAACACTTGAGGCACTTACTAGCCAGGAATACCAACCAGTTGCTGATCGAAGGTCTGCGACATCCCATCTCCATCAAATCCCACGGAGCGCGAAATCCGAGCCCCTTTTGCCACCATGCCCGCTGGCTGCTCCAAACGGCTTGGACCTTGGGGCGGAGCCGTGTCTCCAGTGGGGAGCTCAAGTTGAGCAACCAAATCCATCCAACTCCCAACACCGATTTCCCGCGAAACAGAGTATCTACAACAACGGGTGTGGGTGCTCCTCAGCTCCGTGCCCCGCCCCCCCCCAAAAAAAAAGAAAAAGAACGTTCACAAAGAAGCTCGCATCCCAAGTTGGGCCATGATGTCGGAGCCCGCAGCAATCCCATCTTGGACCTCCAAACCCAGGCTCCGGGATGGAGGTCTGTCCCTTGGAAAAGCCAACGGCCCTATGACGGGTTTGCTGGGTGGTATCTGTCCAAAGCCCCTTGGTCCACACGCCTTTTCTCAACGCCCTTCGGATGCGCCGCTTCGCGGCGTTGGCCGAACGCATCCGGGAGGCCGGGAACAAAAACCGAGAAGACCTGAGGGAATAGATGGCGCTGGGAAATGACGAGCCAAACTAAAATTCGTGGAATCAAATCAATGTAATTATTATAGTCAACCGAACTGCGCCAACTTGACACCCATCAGCCTGCATCGGTGGCAAAAAGCACGAGTCCACCTTTCAATCCCTTTGGGGATGCACTTCAGCAGATTCAGGTCTTGCTGTTCGGACCCAAAAAGCCAACGGCACTGCCATGGTGCCCCGTTTTGACGGTCGGCATGACGACATGGGGTCCCCTCATGTAGGCACCACTCATATCACATACATGTCGGAGAAAGCTTTGAAAACAGGGCATGACAGACTGTGCTAGTCCTTCCAGGCATTCGTAGCCCGAAATCCAAGATGAGAAATCAAGTCACCACCAAAACATACCAAAACCTGGTAATGGAGTCTCCAAGAATCAAACCGGGTTCCTGAACCAAACTTCGCGTACCCCGGGTTTGATTGTGGCACGATTGAGCCGAAGCTGTCGAGCTCAAAGCGACCGCTTGTCGCGCGTCTTGTCATTGTCCCGCTCCTTCCGCAGGTTGCCTTACGTGCTCACTGTCCGTCGCTTTCCACCCCCTCCCCCCCAAAAAATAGAGAAAAGCAACTTGGGGACAACATATCTAGTAGGCTTGCCTTCAACTGTCACGGCTGGATGGCGTCCCTTTATCCAGGCATTTAACGCATCCCTGGCCATGCACACCGCGAAGGTTAAGGATCCTCCACCACGGGGCTGCAAGGCGGCAAGCCCCCCGTGTGAGGTTACCACTTGTTACCTGGGAATGTGTCGTATTGAGGGCTCCGTTTCGAAAAAGGTCTCAGTTATCCTCTGATTTTGGTAGAAGACCGAAATTCTTTATTTTGGGAGGTCCTGAAACTACAGGGGGAAAAGGGAATGTTCGCCAACCAATGTGATCCTTGCAGTCCATGAAAACCATGGACGGAAACAAACATCTAAATAGCGGAATAAAAATGGCCCATAAAACAGTAAACCGTGTACTTTCCGAGTTGCTTTGCATGGTCTCCACCAGTGACTGCAAGTGATCCTGGCGCTCCTTCAGAATAGCCAGGTCCAAACTGGAAGCAGGGCCCTTCAGCAGCGACACCCCACACACAAGCTCCGACATGGAGATGCTCTCGCTCTTGTCGGTATCAATCAGGTTAAACACCTCAGCCCGGACTTCAAGCTGATCTTTTTGCCCAGGACATGGGGAAATTGGATGAAATTGGGGCACGTGCCCCCGCGCAACAGTAGACCACCAAGAATATTGCCAGTGGCTCACCTGAAGCTGCGACCTAACCTGAGTTGCATGTTGATTGTGTTCAATGGGCTCAAAGTGATCAGACAATGTCTTTTTCTGCACACCCCTTTTTATTGTGCCCCTCATGAGTCGATCCCAGCTGATGGCCATGAGAAGGCCAGCGGCGAAGGCCATGCTCGTATGCAGAACCAGTGGGCTTGCGTCGGTGAAAGATGTGCGCTTATTCGAGCCAAATAAAACAAGGAGTGAAGAAAAAACGCCTGTTGCCAACGCTGCTCTGACCCTAGAAAACCGATTGGTACATGATTGGAGCCAGGTTTTTAGGGGATCATTCCCTCATTGCCGCAGGGCCTATGGCTTTCTCGCCTTCTCTGCCACCAAAGCCGCGGCTTCCGGATCCCGCACGACCAAGCCTTGCGCCCCGAACCAGTGCTGCGCGTCTTGTCGCTCCATGACGCGCTCCCACTCTGCCCGGGTGATGGGCGTGTCCCTCGAGTGGTCCGTGTACCGGAAGAATGAACCTCGGAGAACTCGCCCTGGATTGGAGGCCCCCGGCAAATTGTGGCTGTCCTGTTGGATTCCCTTCAAACCCAGGTGAAAAGGGCAAACTCTAAACACGCACACACACGCGCACACTCCAAATAGAGTAAGTCAGGTGTGGGAGATGCCCCAAAAAGGGAAACATGTACAAGTCTTGGTGAATAGAACCCTGAACCTCACAGTCGGCCAAAAGCCATCGACGGGGTGGCGAGCCTCTGCCGGGATTTGCAGGAACGTCATGGTGATCCACCTTCTTTTCCACAGAAGGGTCCGAATCCCAGCGTAGATTTCGGATACGAATGGGTGCTCGCTTCGCAAGAAGCGAAGAAAGGCCAGCTGTGGGGAACTTCTCTTCAACAAGTCTTGCATTGCGGAAACACGGCGTAGTGCACAAACCTACTTCCTTCTAAACCGGTGCCTGCTCAACTCATGGTGGGATGGTAGACGTTGTTTGTTGGATGACTTCAAACTCAGCCAAAAGGTAAGAAGGTCGGCTGACAACCAAGCGCCTCTTACTCATGTGGGGGCCTGCTTGATCGGATGGTAGTGTTCCAAAGTCTTAGAACAAAAACACCAAAGCCATGTGAGACCTTAGCGGTTGGGAATTGAAACAGGGGCTCCTGATATGTCGGGGATGTTTTCAGGGAAAACACAAGGAACCCAAAACTGTTGTGTGGCCCCCCTCGCCACAGTGAGAGACAAATCAAAATCCCCACTGATGTCCACCAAAGAGTCCCAAATAAAATAACACACCCAATGATCTTGGTAGCCATTGCACCCCCAAAACCACAACTTGTCGATGGTTCATGGGAAGACGCAGCTTTGTCAAACAGAAAACCGTTGACCTCTGATAAATTTACATGAAACCCAAAGGCGATCCCCCCTAAACGTAGGCCTCTCTCGCTCTCTCACATGTTGTTTTTTGGTTCCATGCAAATTCTTTCAACCGGCCAAGGCCACCCTTTGCCCGGGCGGTTGGATGTTGGGTCCAAATCTCGGCCCCAGGAACGCATCTTCTCAGCGTGGATCTTCTCCCTCCGCGCAACATCGCGCATCATGATGATGTCATCCGACTGGGCGACCTTCATGGTCTCCTGAACCACAGGGTTGCTCCCAAGATCCTAAGAAACCCCTAACAAATAAATGTCCTAGAGTCCTTATGCAGGTTCTCTGCACTTGTGATGTGGTCATTGCTTTGAGGTTTAGGAGCAAGCCTGGGGAAGCTGGGGCCTCCTACATGCTTAACCCACTTTGTTTCTACCTTCTGTTCGTTTCCACACAAACCAGGTAAGGTCGGGCCAACTATGGTCAACTCCTCTTGAAGGTTGAAGACCAAATGACTCCACCGTCACAGCAGGTCAGATTGCAAGGAATAGTACAGGCCCATGAGAATAAACCCAATAGTCCCCCGATCTGGTGAGGGGAACAATATCCTCTGGCAGAATAGTGCCTAGTTTTATCCTGGCATAACCGACTGGGATGGAACTTTGAGGGCATCAGGCCCCTTTTTGCGGTGACTTCTGATGCAGGAAAGACCATGCTCAACTCACTTCCTGAGAGGACTGGACCCAAGAAGTCTGAACTCACTGCATATCAACAAACTAGCCTTGACATCGCAAAGTCCACGGACTTGGGAAGTAAGCCACGCATCCAATTTGGACAGCGACCGAAACCTTCGGGGGCCCACCAAGGGATTTGGAGGGAGCCACTGAGCAGCTGGATGTCCGAAGCTCTTCCGCTGCCTGCATGAAAACGCCGTTGATGACGCCAACCACTGCAAAGCCCACCACCACCTAGGGGCCGCAGATTGCCAGGGCCCGTGGCAATCTGTCCGCTTGGTCGAAGTTCAAGCGAAAAAAAGCAAACAAACGAGGATTAACACGTTGTTGCAACAGTGCAAATTGGAACGGAACATGGATCCATTGCATGAAGTATGTATTCCCAGTACCTGCCCCAAACAAGTGAGCCAAGAGAAGCACAAGCTTAAGGGAAACTTCGCACGGAACGTGCGTCTACTGCCTTGTGCAAGATGGTGACAATGTTGAAGGCCGGTCCCAGCAGCTCCTGCAACGCCCGAGCCACCGGGACCCAGGTGCCCAGCGTCATCTGGAACCTTGGACGGGGTTACAAAACTGCACAAGCGGCAACTTCTGCTGGTTCAGTGCGGCAACAGCTAAAAAACATCTCCAGGATAAAACGGTTTGGGGAACACATGAGGAGCGGACGAAACACTTTACTTGGCCCTAGTACTTTTTTGAACGTTATTGTTTTTGGGGGAGACCTTATCGTTTTACAGTGTTTTCGAACTTTGGCAGATCCGGCTCGAAAATCGCAACATTGTAGTACAAGTCTAGTACGCGAGTACACTTCCGCAGCTCCAGCTCGAAAATCGCAACTTTGTAGTACAAGTCTAGTACGAGAAGTACACTTCCGCATCTCCAGCTCGAAAATCGCAACTTTGTAGTGCAAGTCTAGTACGCGAAGTACACTTCCGCAGCTCCAGCTCGAAAATCGCAACTTTGTAGTACAAGTCTAGTACGCGAAGTACACTTCCGCATCTCCAGCTCGAAAATCGCAACTTTGTAGTACAAGTAGTACGCGAAGTACACTTCCGCATCTCCAGCTCGAAAATCGCTTTTTGTGTAAGTACACTTTCAGCTCGAAAATCGCAACTTTGTAGTGCAAGTCGAGTACGCGAAGTACACTTCCGCAGCTCCAGCTCGAAAATCGCAACTTTGTAGCACAAGTCTAGTACGCGAAGTACACATCCGCATCTCCAGCTCGAAAATCGAAAATTTGTAGTACAAGTCTAGTGCGCGAAGTACACTTCCGCATCTCCAGCTCGAAAATCGCAACTTTGTAGTACAAGCCTAGTACGCGAAGTGCACTTCCGATCGAAAATCGCAACTTTGTAGCGCAAGTCTAGTACGCGAAGTACACTTGCGCAGCTCCAGCTCGAAAATCACAACTTTGTAGTACACGCGAAGTACACTTCCGCATCTCCAGCTCGAAAATCGCAACTGTGTAGTACAAGTCTAGTACGCGAAGTACACTTCCGCATCTCCAGATCGAAAGTCGCAACTTTGTAGTACAAGTCTAATACAAGAAGTACACTTCCGCAGCTCCAGCTCGAAAATCACAACTTTGTAGTACAAGTCTAGTACGCGAAGTACACTTCCGCATCTCCAGCTCGAAAATCGCAAGTTTGTAGTACAAGTCTAGTACGGGAAGTACACTTCCGCATCTCCAGCTCGAAAATCGCAACTTTGCAGTGCAAGTCTAGTGCGCGAAGTACACATCCGCATCTCCAGCTTGAAAATCGAAAGTTTGTAGTACAAGTCTAGTGCGCGAAGTACACTTCCGCATCTCCAGCTCGAAAATCGCAACTTTGTAGTACAAGCCTAGTACGCGAAGTGCACTTCCGATCGAAAATCGCAACTTTGTAGCGCAAGTCTAGTACGCGAAGTACACTTCCGCATCTCCAGCTCGAAAATCGCAACTGTGTAGTACAAGTCTAGTAAGCGAAGTACGCTTCCGCATCTCCAGCTCGAAAATCGCAACTTTGTAGTACAAGTCTAGTACGAGAAGTACACTTCCGCATCTCCAGCTCGAAAATCGCAACTTTGTAGTGCAAGTCGAGTACGCGAAGTACACTTCCGCAGCTCCAGCTCGAAAATCGCAACTTCTCAGTACAAGTGTCGTATTTACGAAGCGCACCTTGGCAGCCGCAGCTCGAAAGTGGCGACTCGCCTTCTCGTTTTACGGTGGCCACGCCAGGGTCCCACCCTAGCTAAGTTGCAACTGCAGGGGTTATTATAGATCCGTGTGTTAGCTAAGGGTTATCGTTTTTGGGGGAGACCTTATCGTTTTCCATGGTTTTGGCATGTGTTATGCAAAAACGTTCCCCTCCTTGATAAAGTGGTCTTCGTGTGTTTTGTCCGTGGCTCACATGCATGAAAACACGTCACATCATTGTTTTGGCAAAAAGCTATTCAAGTCCGAGATGATGGTCAAAGGTCCAACAGACTGGCATTCAAGGAGCATCGTGAGCATTGCCCTGGGAAAGGTGCCAAAGTACTCGAAGAACTTCACCTGGACTTCCTCCCGGAAATCTGAGCTTTCCTTAGGTCTGCAGACAAAAGCGAGCCCAAGAGATCAAAACTTCACTCCCACCTCGGAACTGCCACTTCCTGGCATGCTTATCCCTGAATGCTAGAGCGCCGTGTTCAAGCCAGCTTCAATTCCCCAGCGATCAATCACATGGCCTCACACACCACCCCCTCACATGATTCCCCCACATGATTCCCCGGGCCATGTGCGCCACTCCTCTCCAACGTAGGGTTGCCCCAAACGAGTCCCAGCAAAAGCTGGCCCTTGCGAAATAGATCTCCCCCATACGATCGCGTTGTGGTCAATGGCAAACCGATAAAAAAGTGAACGGTGACTCAGATTGCTCAATCAGTGCACCTCTTTGCCTCGCCTAAGCCCAAGCTTCGGCCAGGTAGTTCATGAGCAGCTGACTCAGCAGCAGAGCCAACATCATCTCCTGGGCGCAGAAAGCCCGAGAAACTGAGCCTTGCAATGGACACTTTCTTGGGTGCCCAATATTTCTCCTTTGAACAGCACCCGACTGAAAGGATTTTGGTTGAACAGCGATGTTTTACACCACCAAAAGCGGAAATAATATAAGGAACCCTGACAAACACGGCTGGCGTTCTCGGGTTTCTGCTGAAAACCCCGACAAGGACACTTCCTGAGCGAATTGGCCCGAAGGAAGCCTGGACGAGTTGTTTCTCAGCAACATGATCTTCGGGGGCGACCAGAAACATGGGAAGCGTGCTTAGAATACTCATGTATTAGGATAAATGGTTGCAAGACTAGGAACAACAAGCTGCGAACTCTTGATTCTCCCTCAACGCCAGTGGCAAGCTAGACCTCCCTGAAATCTGACATGGTTCTTGGGCAGTCCCCCGACTAGCAAATCAAACCTGAAAGTCATGCAATTCAGGATGAACGTACTGTACTACCGTACCAGCAAACTAAAGTTTAAAGACTCTATATTTCAATTTCAGGCTACATCCATTTTCATGCCACCGTGGCATGCTGGATGTGCATGTCAACGCGTTTGCCGGGTACCCTTTTTATCGGGTCTCAACAAGCACCAAAGGGAACACCACCATTCTGGGGGTCCCCCCCTAGGTTGACACACCGGGTGTCCACCACCAGCAAGATCACCGCAGCCCAGAAGAGCGCCCCAAGGCTGTGCTTCAGCGCCGTGGTCATGATGATCAGCGAGTCCTCCGACAGGACTCACCAAATACAACGCACACTAAGTGTAACCCCCTACATCCATTGAACAGAGTTCCTGCAAGGAGAGATCCAAAAACTGCCCATGCGAGTGGATTCTCTGGGCATTCTCTTCTGGCCGAATGTAACTGCTAAAGCGACACATGCACACAGCATACGGGCACAAAGAGTTCCTGGTTAACAGGGATCAAATTACTGCAGCGGGCCATGTGCTCAAACGACCTGGCACAAATGCCCGAAGCTAGCTCGCTTGGCTCGGCTGAAGGAGGACATGCACTTCTTGTGGGATGATGTGGGATGTCTCGCGGAAACTGTTCCCAGAACGGGCCGAACTGTTGAAAATCAGCCAGTCAAGCTGCCAGGGTTGGGGAACCGACCATTCTCCTTTGCTGTTGGAAGCCAAGCACCTTGCTCTTTCAACGGGCTTCTGCACTAAGTGCTTCTACGCTCAAGCGGGCTCAACTAGCTGTTTGACCAACAACTCATCTTTTGTTTGTGGAGAACCGTCATGTTCGAAAAACTCCATGCGGTAGATATAATTCAAATAATTCGCTGAAAGGCAGTGGCTGCACCAAAGACCAAGAAAAAACAAACCCGGCTTGGCTTGTCACATAGGGGAGCTCCAACATTTGGTGGCTTTGCTTAGGTTTCACTCTTAAACAATTTGAAAGGGGAACCCGCAAACGCAGGCACAGCTTGCTGTAAGGCTCGAAGTTCTTGATGGTGCGCAAGGGCTTCACCAGGCGCAGCAGCCGCATTAGCCGCAGAAGCCTTAAAGACGGGCTCTCCAGCGGCATAAACTCCACCTGAGCCCGAAGTGGAAAACAAGGAGCGGCCGAACACAACGGCGAAGTCTCCAACATCTTGGTCTAGTGTGGTGATTGAAAGGTTCCCTGCCCTCAACGCTTTAAAATGTGAGAGCTTTCCAATCCGGTATCCAACGGGTGTAGTGTGTTTGACGGCAAGCCTCACTCACCGTGGCTTCAAAAGGATCCAAGCGGAAAAACTCATTGAAAAAAAAACAAAAACAAACTTTGTGCGAACATCAACCTGTTTGTTTTGCTGCCCGCTCACAGCCGGGGCACCGAGATCTCGAATATCCAGAGCAAAACCAGTGCCAAGTCAAACCAGTTCCAGAAGGAATGGATGTAGCTTCTGCCCAGCCCAATGGCCTGGCAAGCCGAAGCATGTTGCCCGCATGGCCCAGCACAGGGAGGGTGGTCATAAGTCAAGCGTACGCAACCAGCCCGTTGAACCGGCAGTGCGGTTACTTTCGATTCGCTAAGAAAGACTGTCGTCACAAGCCCTCGATGTTGCATGCTTGTGATCACACAAAACGAGGTACTTGCGACCATGCCGCGGCCAAGCCTGCGTTCAAATGGGCATGTACTCTTCAACCCACCCCTGGCGGGAAGTTGGCATAAGGGGTATGAATCGCAGGTATGGTTGGGGGAGGTTCGAAGTATGGCCCCTCTCTGAGTTCTTCCTGGCTTTGGGCGCTACAATTGACATCTGCACTTGAACTCAAATATCCGCAAGCAACCGAGCCACTTGTCACAAGCCAGCCTCTGACGCTTCCGTGAATGGCCTGATGAGCGGGAGCTGCGACAGCCTAGACTCTGAAGCTCCCGCCGGCCCGCAAACACCAGGCAGCCACGACTACCCTGCAGGCAGCTGTAACAGACCTGCCAGGCAGCTGCGACAGCCACGCTCGGCGTTGCGACAAGCCAACGGCGCGCCTAGCAGCAGCGCTCAGAGCAGCCGCCGCGCCTTTACTTGATTGCCACCTCTTCAGAGATTGCGAGCGTATCACCGTATGCACTTTGCTTTTGCGTTCGAGTTTCCGCTGAGCGTTCCTGCTGGCCGGCCCCCAGGGCTGACCAGAACTCGCTTGCTGTGGCACGCCCGCCAATGAATGCGCTTGCTGCTTTGCGACGCTCCACGAATTCACGAGCAGAGCAAGACAATTCACTCTTGCCGGGCGCAGCTCAAAAGGTTTCGATTTTTTCTTTCAGAATTACCGAAATGCAACTCTTCGACAAGGCTTGGCCTGGTTCGGGTGTGAATTGACCAGGCGCCACTTCCCGCATAGGCCAAAGAATCAGCACAGCAGCACAACAGAACTATAAATCAAGACCTTCACAGGGCCGAGCTGTTGAACACATAGTCTGTCGGCCAAGAATCACACCTGATGCGTGGGGAACTAGTGAGCGCCCGAGGAACGCCGCTCGTTTTGGCGCAAGCACGGTCAGGCCTTCAACACCACCTCCAAGCAGAAAAGGCACCCGAAGAGCACCTAGCGATCCGAATGTAACGATGGCCTGGAAAACGACAAAAATGCATCTAAACTTAAACATCACGTGTGTTCTTGAAATGAGTCAAGCAGAAGACAAACGTGAATGTCAAGGTGGTCGAATTGGCATAACCCCTGGCTATTGCCCTCAGTTGGTTCTAGATATTGTTTTTTGGTGGGGCCAGGACTCTTACATTGACCCCGGAAAAGCAGGGTCAAAAAGCACCCTTTGTCCGATTTTCCGACCTCGGCCGCTTCCAGCAGCACAGGCATGCGAGGCCAAAAGTCCTCGGAGGACAAGTCATAGCCTGCCACGAAGGTGCGTTGCCACCAGTGACGCCAGGAAAAGGGAACCAAGGGAACATCATGAGTTTTTTTTTTTTTTCTGTGCTAGAACTGGACCCTCTCACATTCTGTTCCCCTTTGGGTTTCAACCTCGGTCCCGAAAGCCCATGGGTCAACATAGGGCCATGGCGCCTTGCATCTCCCCCCCCCCACAAACCACCGCCTTGGGCGGCCCGTGGCGTCCCAACAAAAAGACAAACCCCAACAACGCCCCGGTTGCTGACAACATTGGCCGATCACCCCCACATCCCATGCCAAAGGCCTGGGTACTTGAGGCGGTAGCCCCAGTCCATGCCCTTGTGCTGCACCTCAAGCGCCATGCCTCGGCAATCTCCGGTCTCCAGGTGTGTCTGTGATCAAAATGGGCTCAAAAAACGGAGCCCGAAAAAACCACAAACTTGGCTTGGTGGTCTTGATGGCACTTCCCGCCACACCTCCGGGGGTGGGTCGAATCAAAACACGCAGGCTGAGGAAACAAACAATTCAAACATTGGCAGCCCAACCGTTGCCTGGAGATGACACTTGCGAGTGCTCAACAACATCGCCTAGATCATACTACCAAGCAAACTCCACAGGAAGGGTCATGAAGCGTTGGCACTTGCAAATACCCATGTGAATGCCAGGGGATACCCCCCCACCCCAAATCCATTGCCAAGCTGCTGATGGCTTGCAGCACAATCAGGACAGCAAAGAACAGCTCAAAGCAATTGGACCGGACCAGGCGCGCCAACCGCCACTCAGATTGAGATTTACCGAGGTCCATCGTGAGGGACTCACGCCTCAGTGTCCCCTCCTTAACATGTGCATGACGTAAGCTGGCATGACTTACATAACAGCAAGCTGCAGCAGAGGCAGCGACGAGCCAAACTTCAGCCCTGAAGACTTGGAAAGGTATGCCACGTGGATCTGCAGCCACGTTGCCCAAACATGGCTCGGCTTTGCTCAGCCTTTTGACTAGCCAAGAGCCAAAACAATCATTGTCGACAAGGGCGTTGTTGAGACCGGAAGCAATGTCCCGTGGGCAAAGACCTGTGCACGCCCGATCAATCTCACAAAAGCCACGGATGGCAATTATTGCCCATGATTGAGCTCTGCTCCCTCCGCTGTGCCATAAGATCCCCAGCCCCAAGATTGACCATGAAGCCGGACCTCGCATGGATCCACCACACTGGGGTAATTACTTTCTCTGGAACATGCATGACGCATGACAAGGCCCCACATGCATGACGCATGACAAGGCCCCACACAAGCAGAACAAGCGGGAAGTGCAAAGCACAAGCACCACAAGCACCACAAGCCCACCACAAGCCCACCACAAGCCCGCCACAATCGTTTTTTTGTTGGACCAAGCGGAAAACTGGTTGGTTGGAAGGCGGCCGAGAGGCAGCGAGCGGCTGGGCCTTGGCCCCAGCTTGCGCGGCAGCGACCGGACCTGCGACTTGGAACTCGTTGAGGTGTTCACCCTGCGGGATCCCTGAGAGTCTACCGGAAAACCACCATGCTGCAAAAGGATTCAGGATTGAGTGTGAACAAACCAGTCTAATTAAAGATAAAGGGAACCCGAAGGATGTTGCAATGTGTGAAACCAAAAGATGCTGTCACATATAACTCTACAAAGGAAACTCATACTACTCAATTTGCACGATATCGGTTTAGCCCCTTTTCAGCAAGAAACTCTTTCAATAACTCATTTCCAGCGAGGGGCGGGTAAACGCAAACACTCCGGTTAGCGGATTCGCAATACAAGCCCAATCCGTTTGTTGAGCACCCAAAGTCCTACAAAAAAACCTGGACACTTTGTCTATTTTGCAACCTTCTCTCTCTCTCTCTCTCTCTCTCTCTCTGCGCACAGTCTGAAAACCCACCGGCCACCTTTCCAGGAAATCAGCTTGTGTCACTTCAGCCACCAGGAAGGTAAATACTAAAGAATTTCAGAAGATCAACGTGCGCAACCTTCATTGGAGTAGGGTTTTGATAGGTTTTAAGTCTGTAACATCGACATTCTGGGTGTCCATGGCACTGCGATCGCGCCTCGAGCGGAAGCGACACCGCTTCGCTCTGGGTCTCGTTGAGTCCCTCCGACTTGGTCGTGGAAGCACACGCCGTGGCCTGGTCCAAGGCCTCGAAAGCTTGGGAGTGTCGAATCCGGAAGTTGCACAGGAGGTCCAAGGGAAACGTTTTGTTTCTTTGGGTTCGTTTTGAGTAATGCAAACCCGGGAGTCGAAGTGAGTCGAGTGCAAGCATACCGCGCCAGAAGGCAAGGTAGGAGCGACCTGGTAAATATGATGGATTTGATAAACATACACCATTACCCCCACTGGTGGTTTGAGGGGGAATCGCAACCCTTTAAGCCAACCACGCGAAAAGGGACACTGCGCTAATTAGCCTGAATGGGCTCCAGAAGCTTTTTAGCAACTGCCAGTTTCCGGTGAAGCATGTATAATCACTTTTGCGCCATGCCAAAACTTAGATGGCCATCCACGCCCAAGCCTTCTGGCAATATCCCAATAGCCCGGTGTCCAAAATTCACCCGTTCCCCGGAGCTCATTCATGCAGGGGATTCCGGAACGGCGCAGCTGAAACATCGAGGCCAGCAAAGTAATCCATCCAACGGTCCAACGTATCCTCCTGCAACTCAACGTGATTGCCAAATTCTCTTGTGGGATCGGCGGTGCGCCTCATTTCTTTGGCTCTTTCTGTCCATTTGCAGGAGGCTTAAATCCACAGAAGCGACCCTACACACGGGCTAAGACCCCAAGCAGAAAGCTGTGGCGTTGTTAGCCCCGCACCGTACCCTCCCTTGAAAATGTCGAACAGGCAAGCCCTTTCTGGGACAATGGTCATGCAAAGCTGTCTACGCACTTCCATGTGTTGGGAAGTAACAGTGGTTTCATCGTAAACATCTAAAATGCGGAACGGAACAGGCCTCCCTCACCCGGTCGTTCAGGAATAAGTGCTTTGAAAAATAACTATTCCAAGCACAGGCTACAAGTTGCGTCAAAGCAACCAAAGCTAACTAGCGAGAGGTCAACACAACACGACACCGCCCCCTGTATATGTTTGTTGTTTTCTTGTTTTGTTGTTTCATGGTTTCTCTTCGGTATTTTGTTCAAACCATCCAAGAAGTCATTGCTTTGGAATATGTTGCTGTGAAATCTAAGGTTGGGATAATCTCACAAATGGTCCGTGGAAACGAAAACCCCAAACAAAATCCCCCGTGACATGTTGAGCAACCCCGTTTACAAAGGCAATTTCCCGCTGGTTTCCATCACAATTACAAAAGAACCCCCCCCCCCCCTCCATCATCCTTCAATCTTCTAAGAGCATCCACAAAAAGCAAACCCTGATCGGCCAAAAACGAAACTCACTGAACACTCCCCCGGGCCATGTCTTGCCTATTCGCCCATCGAGACGTCGAGACGAGTTCCGACACGAGTTCGGATCCGAAGCCAAGCCTTCCAGTCTGCCAGCATCTGCTCATGCTGCTGCTCCAGGCTTCGTCGCTGCTCGGCGAGCCGCTGCTCCAACCACTCCATGCCGAGGCCCGGTGACCGGTGTGACAAGATGATATGAGAAGCACTGGCCCTGTTAAATGAAGCCTAGCCATTTGGGAAGTTATCCCCCACCCTCCAAACCAAGCTGAATCACCAATTGTAAGCCCGACTCAAGCCAACCGCGACAAACAAAACAAGAACAACATGGCAAACATGAATCTTGAGCGCTTTGACCAAGACGGTCATGACAAGAGCGCCAGCAAGTAGGCATATGCTGACATGCGGTGTTTCATGAATTCACAACACTTAAACGCAATTAACACATATAGCTATGTATATATATACACGCAAGCACACACACACACACTATTTATCTCTATACATTTGACTCGACAATGTATATTGCCAAGGCCCCGGTATCTACTTACATAGTCAACTTGGTGGACATTCGCACTTGAAGCTGTGGCTTGTACGGCTGAAGCCTCGAATAGGAGCACCGAGCACAAGGACTCAGTTCCCAAGTTGCCGCAATGCATCCCTTCACTCCTTGGTACCTTTTAAGGAGGTATCCGCAATCTGTTGTGCCCCCCTATACACCATCCTACTTGCAACCACTGGCATGAGTTTAGCTTGCAAACAATACAAACTGGTTCCCTTGCCTGCCCCCTTCACCAGTCCATGCATTGCTTAGCCGAAGTGTGCGCAAGGACTTAGATCTTGATGAGCCAAACAATGTTGCACGATCTTTCTCAGAGCCTTTAAGCCTTTCAAGCAAGCTTCATTCAGAAGCACACAAGGCAAACATGCTGTTGCCCACACGAGCAACGCACGGCCAACAGGTAAGACTGCTGGACACATGACTTTGCCACCTTTGGTGGCAAAATTCGAGGAACTGCGTTGGAATCCCCAATCCTTGACCCGTAGTGTGGCACCATTGCAACAAAAAAACACTGCCATCTTGCACAAGGATTGAGGAATGTCTCTGAACAACCTGGAATGTCTAAGCCGCCTTTGGCGGCAGGGTGCTACGAATGTGCGTTCCATTGGCGTCTTGCCCAAAACTCAATCACATCCTCTTGCACATGCAAAGGATGCAACCCAAAACAGAACGGGTCGCCCTCCAAGGAATGATGACCTTCAGACACCGCCATTGGTGATGCGTTTAATTGCTTGCCAAGCCATAGGTAGCATCAAAGGACCCAACTCGAATGGGTACTGAAAAGGCCTCTGGCTCTCCAGTACTCAAAAGAATGGGATTTCTCGAATCATGGCCACCTTGCTAAACTATGTCCCCTAACTCACATCAGTGGTTTAGTAAGGTTTACTAAATACCTTCTTCAACAATGAACACGCCAAACACATGCGCCGCTTCCGATCTGTGCGACGAAACGGCTACAAGGAAAGTTTGGTGTCGGGCTCTTCAAGGCGTGCAAGCACGGACTGAGTGAGGTTCAACAGCTTCTCGTGACTCTCCTTAGTCCAGGAGGAATAACAGCCCAAGGCTACCCATCAAGGGTCTCAGAATTTGATCAAACCCCGCAAGCTTCTAAGAACCTTTCCGTGTTCTTGTTTGGGTGGGGGGCTTGGCCTGTCTCCCTACAACTGGTCCCCTGCGTGGCGCCTGCAAAAGGGCCCCAAATAGAGGAAAAGTGTCGATGCTAGGGGCTCTCTTTCAGCTTCCATGTTTGCTGTTGGGAGCTAACGTTTTTGCTGGCTAAGGAACCAAATCTTCCAAAAGCTTGAAAGGTTAAAGGTTCTACCAAAAAGTCACCAAGTCTCCTTGAGCATGACCAGGTCTAGGCTCCTCGTAAGACTCCCACGAAACCCGTATATGTCCAGGCTGGGTCTTGCGTGCCACGTCAATCAGGACACCTGCTTGCTGGGAAAGGCTACTGTATTCGGGAAGCTCACGCAAAAGAGGGAAGGCATGGGATCCACCGGACAACTGGTTGCCCAACACTACACTAGGAAACTGAAAGGCAAGGATCGTGCTGCAAGGGGTGCTAGACAAGGTGGATGACGTTGATATTGCAAGTAAGAAAGGGGGGGGGAGCTGGCCATGCGTCATTTTCTGAAGATGGCAATGGCACTGGCCAATGAGTTAGAACAACATTGAAATCAGTGCCATCTATGTTCAACAGGGCACATATGCATGTAATCCAGCAATTTGCCAGGATTGCGCGGTTGCTTCACTTGCAATGTTTGGGAATTCACCGAACAGAGTAAGGAGTCTGAACTCTGGATTCTCAGAAGGGGTCTGTTCACGGGATAGTAACCCTTGTGGGAACTCCTCCAGGGAACATGAGCAACTATCGGTTGCACCCAGTTGCAGTAAAAAAGCTCTCGAGGGGCCTAACCTGCTCTTAGTCTTGGGCATGGCGGAATGAACATCGTAGCGCGTGTAAAAAATGTGGGATTTAACAACATTGTCTGGGGTTCTCAGCAGCCAACACAACAATATGGCAGCCTTGTGGGCAGCCAACAGCTCCATCTACACTGTAGTCCCCGCGGTGGACCCTTTGGTGCTACGAAGGAATTGTGACCTCAACCCATCAGACTGGTTTACACTATTTGTCTGAATGCCAAGGTTGGGGTTAACTGGCATATCCGTTGCCCAAACGTCCATCCGTTGGATTGACTGAAAGAAGGCCACAAGGTCAATTCGCTATGGGCGAATGATACAGCGCATTCTCCATTAGTCCTCGCTGGACCTTGGAGATGTCTGACACCGGCCACGAGCTCGTGCATGCTGATGCCTCATGCCACACACGAGCCTCAAATAGAAGGTGTGAACATACCACTGCTGGTTCCAGGTCTTTGCAGAACCTGTGTTGGCTCTGGAGATCCCCGATTTCGCGCCCTGACAAAGGTTGGATTTCTGGCTGGAAGAAGACCTGCCTGTCGCAAGTAGGGTAGCAATCACAAGCGCGGATGAATAGACCTTGCGGATTAGGGAGGTGGTCCCCCAAAAGTAATCCGCATTCAATCAACCAGGGTTGTTCAATCCACGTGGAATGAAAAGAAGGTGCCTTGAGTGCGCCAAAGCACCAACAGCAAAAGCACTCCTTCCGTGTGATGCCATTCAGCAAGGGCCTCCAACCAAGCCAGGCCCAATACCACACTGCAGATTACAGTAACATGGAAACAGCAAAACCACCAAGTATAGAGGAATTTTGTGTTGGTGTTTTTAGCCTCATGTTGATGCGGGACATCCAGCCGCGCGCCTTGGCTATTGTCCTGGTCCAGCAAAGAGAAAACGGCATCCGCCTCCTCCACCTGTGCACGACTCTTCAGGAAATCCCGTCCGCCATACTTGGCCGCCACCTGGTTGCTGATTGGGGGTTGTTGTAAACCAGCCGGCCGCAGCTAATAGGAACGCCGGATTTAAAAAACCCTGCTTGATTGACAGGCGGGGTCCCCGTTTAGTGGGTTTAGTGGGGGTTCACCACTTTAGGCGGAGAAGCTTGCTCCGGGGTCAACACTAGCAGGTTGAAAGCAGAGTTTCAGACAAAGAAAAGCGGCGAAAAAAGCGCCGCAGCGCTGAAAGGGCGCACTTGAGCGGGTTTGCTTACCATGCGACAGGCGCGTGCGCAGTGCTGAGCGGGTGCACTTGAGCGGGTGCACGTGCCATTTGGCAGGCGTGTGCATTGCTGAGCGCAGGAAATGCTACGAACGTCTGTTTCCCAGGCTCGTGAAGGGGGGAGGGGTGCACCAAGAGCCACAGCACGGCAACAAACAATCCCTCAAGCATCCCGACATTGGTCGGACATCCCAAGGCGCCCACGAATAAGTTCGACTGCTTGGGCCTTGCGGAGGCCTCTTTGTCGAACATGCTGATTGCTCAGCTATCATATGCTATCATTACACATCACTCGACTTGAACCAGGCAAAAGTGGTCAGGATTTCTCCAAGGCAGACAAGAGTGCAATGTCGGCCCTTGGTGAAGGGAACAAAAAGCATACCAACCGATGTTTCTACCCCTGTGACCTGACTTTCTTTCACGAACACTCGGAGCAGCTTTGGTCACCATCGGAACCCACAGCCCCTTCCCAAAGCCGAGCCTTGAGACCCTGCGCTGCGAACCAGTTCTGGGCATGGCCACCTTGTAGAACCTTTAGCCACTCTTCCCGGGTGATGTGGGCGTCCTTCACTCAGCTCAAGGGCAAACAAACAAAGGCCCTTGACTCAGGAAACTTGGTCCAAATATTGGGTCAATAGAAATGCAATAGCAATATCAGGTTCTACTTCATATAAATCTTAAAATAAACGTTTTGGAGGAGACCCTGGGAAAGGTTCTTAGGGCCATATCAGAAGTTCCAGGAAAGGTTCGAAGAACCTCCCTGGGGCGGTGCGAAGACTTCAAGAGAATGCGTGAAAGTGAATTTGCAAAGTCACAATCGTCAAAAACAAACATCTAGGAATGCCCCTCTTACCACTCTTGAGTCACAAGGGCTCCGCATCCACAAGCTTGCAGATTCCCAATGGGCGAGGGCTAAATGGGGCTAATGTTGGTTCTTCTTCCGCCGGCTGGATGCAAACTTTGAGATCCTTTTAGACACCTTGGACCCGCAGGGCTAGGAAGTTGCTACGTATTTGACAAGCCAAGGAGATGTTTGGATCCTTGGAGTGATCGGCATAGCGGAAGAATGCTCGCATCTTCTGGGCGTGGAGCTTCTCTTGTCTAGCCACGTCGCGCATCATGATGATGTCGTCTGACTGTGCAACCCGCATCGTCTCCTGCAGAACGGGTCAAAGGGCATTTGAATAGGGACCCGGAAGAAAACAAAAACAACGTGTCCTTTGATTAGTTGGGTTACAACTCATCGTTGTAAGAAAATCCAACCCTCCGACTTCCGACCCGTCCTGCATGAAGACGCCATTGATCACGCCGATGCAGGCGAAACCAACAATCACTTTATGCAGGATGGTAAAGATGTTGAAGTTCGGGCTGACCGTCTCTTGAAGAAGGCGTCCCACTTCCGCCCAGGTGCCCAATGTGAATTGAAACATCGTCAACATTGCGCGTGGAAAGGTGCCAAAATATTTGAACAGCAGCTCCTGCTCCTCTGGAGTATAGTGCGACCCAGAATCAAACACCATTCCCATCAGCACCTGGTTCAGCAGGAGGGCGAACATCATCTCCACCACCAACATAATCATGGCCACCCAGAAAAGGGCATTGACACCTTACACTTTTGCAGCAAGATCACAAATGGTCAAAGAACAAATCACATCAATGCAATCATAAAAAGCCTCTGCCTGCCCGTGTGGGCCTCAAACATTGCAGTACCAGCGTCTTTAACATACCCGCTGCAAGTACACAGCACAACGGTACATAGCAATCAATCCCTCAAAATCCGCTCGCAAACCATGTGTGTTGTTGAGCCTTCCTAATCTGTTTTGAGCGCTGCTGAGTGAGAAACAAAAGGAGCGATGCTGAGTGCTGCTGAGTTTAATCTCAATTTGCATAGCAAAGCATCGAACATTATGGCCAATTTGACCACCTCCCCCTCAACCCCTCCTCCCCCACAGCAGTCTATCGGTTTCGGAAGGCCTATTCCCGTGTAGAGTTTAGTTTTGTCGAACTTGCGAGTGCTAAAGCCTCAGTTGCCATAGTCTCCATTTGGGTGAACTCCGGCAAAGGCGTCATCAATTTGAATGCCTTGCAAACCACACCGGCAAGGCTTCCTCTTATATAAAACACATCCCCCTACTTCCCGCAGAGCTTCTATCCTTCAAAGCCGTGGTCATGACGATCAAGGAGTCGAAGCCCTGGACTGCCCGCACCAACTTGACCTGAGTCGACGAGCTCGAAAAAGTTCGAAACAAAAAAAAATGGGTCCTAAAGGAGGCAACGCTGACCCACTGGCTCTGGCAACAAATCAACAGAACACAAGTGACCAATTGACTATGAGCTACACGGCAGACTCTTAGGTTGCCAGGGCAATGCCATGACTTGAATTTGCTTTGCAAATGCAGGCACTTTTGCAACATAGCAATGACAACCAGCCAAAGTCAACTTTCCAAGCACCGCAGCAAGCTAAGGGTCTACCAACACCTCACGACTCTCACTTGCCTCTGGCAAGTGGTTCTCGAAGCCGCCAAATGCGGCATGCAGCTTGTGCCGCTTTGGGAATCGAGAAGCTCAAGCAAGCACGCTGACGCCGCAACATGCAGCCAAGGTGCCAAGCGGAGGAGGCGAACTAACCGAATCAGCCGCAGCGCAGGACTTTCCACAGGAACCACCACCTCGTGTGAAGACTGCTGGAAGGGGTCTGGAACAAAGAAATGCTTCCGGAGAGTGGACACACAATAGAAGCATATACCGGTTAGATCTGAGACCCATCCTTTGTGCTCTATAGGCGGGTCCCTTGATCAAACTTACTTTTGAATCTCTTAAATGCATTTCACTTTCCTCCTCTTTCTTACCATCAATTTATCCCTCCCTTGTGGTTTCAAGCGGTGCCTCGAGGGCATGCTGCTCTTGTTTGTTGGTAAACAGGCTGTTTAGCATCCTTGCCGTCAAAGCGTGCCTAACGGTTTTGCCCATAGCATTGGAGCAGGCTCGGGCAATGGCAAGACATGGATCGTGGCCGTTAGAGACACGTGCTCTCTGAGCAGAAAGAAAGCCAAAAAAAAAAAAAGGGCCAACCCGAGCAGTCTCAAACAATCAGGTGGTGTGGGCTTCTCAATGTGCAAGCGGGCAGTGAGCAACAGAAGCACACCCAGGGTGCTGGCTGAGAGATGGCTGAGAGGTGCAGGCCTGGTAGTCTCAGGCCCCCAGCTGTGCATGGACTCAGGATAGGATTTGTTGCGAATCCAAACCGGCCTCGACTACAAATTTAAACCGCTGCTGCTAGTAGAGTTATTGCTGCTCTCCTGCTTGCTTGCTTGATTGCTTGCTTACTTGATTCTTCAAGTTGTTTCACTCAACCTGCATCCCGTGCTTGGCCAATGGCCAACAGGTTGCACCAAGGCGCCAGGACAGTATCAAAGATCCACAGCAGCACCAAGCAAAGATCGAACCAGTTCCAAAACTCCCGGAAAAAGCCCAAGCCTTGGAAAAGAGGGTGCGAGCACCCTGCACATCAAGAAGGCCATCAAAGCAAAGGAGTCAGTTGCTGAGATCGGACCTCATGTTGGTGGTTCCGTGCAATGTGTGTTTGGTCGCGGAAAAATCAGGGTACCCCGCAAACAGGCACCCCTTTCGTGAGGTGCTTGTCTTTCAAGCTTCATGTTTTTCGGAAAGTTGATGCAGTCCACGTATCCAGGTTGTGCAAACCGATCGGAAGCGAACCCTTTTGGGGAGTCACCTAGGGAGCGCGCAAATGCGCCGACAACACACGGCGTGATGGATGCAAGAAATGCTTCCTACCTGTTAGCCCTCCCCTTCCCAGCACAAATCCAAGCTTTTGGGAGGGGGGTACAACTATGGACAAAATCACTGTGAGAATTCCAACGGGACAATTTAAAGGGAAAAGTCCAGGAACAATTCCAAAGGAAAATTTCAATGGAAGAATTCCAAAGGACAATTCCAATGGAAGAATTCCTAAGGACAAATCCTAAGGACAATTCCAAAGGACAAAATGCAATGCGAGAACTTCAATGAGAGAAGTCCAATGGGAAAAATTCCCAGGGAACACTTCCGTGGAAAAAAACTGCAAAGGCGAAATTACGACACGAAAACGAAAGCAGGCCTGGAATGTCGGCAACCAAAAAACCTGCCGTGCAAGTTGCGCCTCATTGCGCCTCAAAAAACATGCCATCGGTAAACAGCACACGGTACGGCTTCATAGGGCCTAGTGAGGCGTGGGCCATGCTTGGAGGGTAGCCAAACTAAGCTGGTTATGGCAAACAATAGCTTTAAGCCCTGATCCGAGGCAAAATCGGCGTGATCTAAGATGAACCAATGACCAACACCATGCCCATATCCCTGCTTGACCAATGATGGTGACTGGAATCACCATGATCAACAAACAAATAGCTTGGCTACAAGCGGCGGTAAGCCACACCCTTCAGAATGCACTCCAGGCAGAAGAGGGTGCCGAATAAGATTTCCACCGCCTGCAGCACGGCGGGCACGCCGGGCCAAATCTCACTGGCAGGGGCCAGGTAGCCTTCATAGCCCAATTTGTAGCCCCAATCCAGGCCGCTTTGCTGCGTCTCCTTGGCACGGAAGGAGCTTGCTTTGATTTGCTTTGCCACATTGGCCTCCATACCCAGCTTGACTTACTGAAATTGCACACTGAGATCCACCGAGAACGCACAAGAGGGAGAGGTTGGGTTGCCTCAATCCTGTTGCTCTATTCTTTCCAGTTAGATAAAACAGCACCATAAACCATCAATGGAAGCCAAGGGGCACTCCCTGTCCCCTAAGTCCATAATTAAAGAAATGAGCTCCTCCGAAGCGCGCAACAGCAATCCAAGCAAGCGTCTATGGCCAGGCAAATGGCCTGCAAAAGGATCAGGAAGGAGAAAAAGACTTCGAAGCCAGTGGATCGCACGAGTCGGTCTGGATGCCAACAAGGGACTCCAAGCTTATTGCCCTTCAAGGACTCCTGAACAGGGTTGCACCAGCCTGCTGTTTAGGCATAATGGCTCTCTCCCTGCCACTCACTCACTCTCTCTCTCTCTCTCTGTCTCTCTCTCTCTCTCTCTCTCTCTCTCTCTCTCTCTCTCTCTCTCTCTCTTTTTGTCTCCCTCTCTGGCGCTCAGTGCTATGTCATTACGCAGCAAGCATGCTTTAGACAATCAGGGCCCCTCGTGGTTGTTAGGAGGCCCTGAGGGGGGGGCGCTGAGAGGCTAACCAGCGCCTGCGCAGTCAAAGAGTTTGGCGAAGCGAGAATAACAAAACCCTTTCGTTGCCAATGGCTGAAGCACACTATTGTTGGGGCAAAGCGGCAGCTTCTGTTGCATTTTATGGGCATCCTTGGGATCCCACTCATGCAGGGTTTTGCGCCTAGTGCTTGCGCCATGAACAGCAACTTGCAACGGCTGAGAGGTTGCACGTCTGGGGGCAAGCCACGCTCTGCTGCGGGCAGGTAGCCCACGTTGGCGCCCGCTTGACAATCGACTGGCCCTGGCGGCAGTGATTCACCATCACGTGCGATGCTCGCTGCGGTTGTCTGTTGCATCATGGCATGCCTTGAATTGTGTGCTGACACTTGTGACGAGGCACGCCCAAGCTGCTAGCGCAGCCAGGCGAATACGCAGAGCTTCTCACTCACAAGGCATCTCCAAATTTGCCTCTGGCACGCCTTCTTACCTTTCAACATGGCCCATGGCCGGCTGTGTATGCAGTTTGCGGAGCCGGGCAGCAGTGGGGCGTGATTTTTTCAAGAAGAAAGCCGCTGGTGTTGGGTCGCAGCGTTGCTGGCCGCGCCCGGATGGCAGTTTGGAGGCTAAAGATGGTAGCGTCTCCCACTTGTGGCCGAGCTTGTTTGCTCTCACACTCACGGAAGCTGCATGGTCCGTCTGTTGAAAATCAGCCCTATGCTCAAGCCATGGCAGCAAACAGGAGCTGCGCAAGTTACTGGGGACACTCACGGCCAACAGTTGGACTTGTTTAATAACATCCCACTGGTGCCAATTTGAAAGGGGTACCAGGGCCTGGCTGACACCGCTTTTGCAAACCCTCGGTCCTGAAGGTTGGCAGGGGCCCGAGCCTTCCGTATCGCGCGCAGCACCGTGTTCGATCCTTGCGCGGACTGGTGGCCTCTTTGCGGACTGGGGTGACACTACAGACCAGGGAGCCGCTGCCTGGCATAAGGAACAAGGAGTGTTTTTGCACCCCGAAAGCCAATCAACATCGCTTCCTCCTTCCCTCTCTCTCCCCCTCGCCTGCCTACGCAGCTGGGCTACGCGTGGAATCATAGATGCCTGTTTGAAGCAGATTTAGATTGGACCACCACCCACAGTGACACGGCACAGGGCGGCCCTTCAAGAGAAGCTTCTGCCACGTGCCCTCCCACAGGTTCTGGAAAGCAACGCCCACGTCTGAAACCGAGGCACGTTCCAGCGACGGCCTCGCTGCATCCTTCGGCGTTTCCGCCTGCGGCTTGGCTTCCTTCTGCTCCGATTGCTTCTCCGCCTCTGACTTCTCCGACTTCGGCTTCTCCGGCTGCGCCTCCGCTTCCTTGAGAAGGGCTGCGACCTCAGGTGGGCGGTTCTGACAGTTTGTAAACCTCTACCTTGGCATTTCAACAACGGTTCTTTCCTCAGACGGGTCGGCCACATTGAAATCCGGGAGATCCGAAACGTTCAATTTGGCACGCCTTCCCTCGCCTGGCTTTCCGGGCACCGCCACCGCTGCAGCGGCATGCAATTCTATATGAGCTTGGCATCCCCACGTGCGCGTGATTTCCAGCCCTTTACTAAGAAAGTGTTCTCTTTTCGCAAGCAGGGTGCTGTATGCACAGGTGTGTCTACTGGCATCCTGTTCTCCACTAAGCCGGCTAAAACAGCAGCTCGTCGAAACACTTCACAAAAAACACACATCAACATTTAACACTAGGTCTGGGGTGTATCCTGATCCCATTTTGTGGGTCTCAAACGTCCCCTCAGCCTTGCGACGGAGTTGGGGGGCAGTTCCAATACAATTGTTCGAGTGTTCCCAATGAACGAATGAAATGACATTCCAGGCGTGTAACAAGAGAACTGCAAAGCCTGGTCCCCTCACCAAGGAACCTACGACCGCACTGGGGTCCTTTTGACCCTTCAGGTTGCAAGCAAACGTGCTGCGCTTTGCCACTTCACCCATCGCCTTTGAGTTTCCTTTCTGGGGCTCTCTCGCTAAAATACCCCAACAAATCGAAAACACACAAAAGGCAACGAAAAGGACGGCAACAAAAGGCGTAACAAAAGGCGATTGCCTTCTCCCCGCCTGGAACTCCACAGCCAGAACTGGTGTGGGCACGTCCGGGGAGTCAGACTCGCTCTCCTCGAAGGCCTTCAGCTCAGCCAGCAGCGCCGCCTGACATCCGACCAGCCGCAACGGGAGCGGGGGAGGCTGACGCTATGTGTCTCTGACGCCAAAAAAAGTGTTACCATGTTATAAGCTTGACAAAGTAGTTCTTGGATTCTATGCCAAGCATAAAAAACAAATAAACAAGCGTGTATGTATATACCTATATATCTATCTATGTACACATCCATCGGCATATACATACCATAAGCTACTTGTCAGACTTATGTCAATAGCAGTGGTAAGAACTTGGACAACTTGCGCGGAAACAAACACAAAAAGGAATCTGCAGGTCTGGCAAAATTTCCGACCTGGCGCTGCTCCATGAGAACCAGCTCTTCCCGGAAGCGAGCGCGCAGCCATTCCACATGGCTCGCCGTGGCCATGCCCAAAGGGTCCCCTATGGGTTTTGAGGGGTACGGGGCGAAAGCACCTGAGGTACTACGGGATTGGAGATCTCAAGGCGTTGGATCGCTTTGCGGCAGCTGGCCCGCAAGATGCCGTGGTTGGTTTTTGCAGTGGTTTGTGATAGGAAAGTCCTTTTCACCCCGTTTACGTCTGGAAATTGAAGGGACTCCGTCTCTGAGAGGATTGCTGCACTTGTATCTACTGGGCTCTGATTTTCCAAACAACAACGATGGTAACATTTGATACGTGGAACCTCGGCTTTGTGATCCTACGGCAGTCCTTGGGCCAGGGGCGGCTCGGCCCGGCCAAGAGAGAACAAGCCTCGGAACCATGGATTTTGCGGTTTCATGACCATGTCTATGTCGGAAGCCCCCCCCCCAATAAAAAAAAAGAGGGTGGAGCAGCCTCAGCCCTGCCTTGTATTCTTTTTTGTTTCTGGGGATGCATCAATATCAATATGTGTGTTGTTGTTGCATGAACTTGAGAACATGCTCATTCTTGCCGTGTAAACATGCTCTCCTGTTGTGCCTTCAGTTGCCTGCCAGAATCCCAAACCCCCAGTGGCTATTGGACAAGAAGGACGCTCTGTGTTGCTAGCTCTCTTTTTTTAACAAACAACAACAACCAGAAAAGCAAAAAAAGCACTGGAGAAGTTATTCCCAAGTGACACGCATCAGGCTCACTGCTCAAACCTCACGTTCAGTCACCCACCTTGCGTTGACTTATTAGCCAAAAATGCAACACACATCAGCATGTTCAAGCGAGTAGTTTGGCCATGATATTTTAATTGTGCACCTCTCAGAATAGCTGGTAGACACTAATCCCCATCTTGTCAACTACCATCCATATCTGCACTAAGCGTGCTCCTTTATACGCAACCTCGACGAGGGTACTATCCAAGTGGGCCTCTTCTGCCAGGCTCCCTTTAAACCAACCTGAACAGGGTACCCAGAAAAAAGAAAGACACCCATCTGTGACCGGCTGACCATCTCGTCGGTCCTCAGCATGCCTCGGCCTTCCTTTTTTGTCGCTTCTCACGCGTCTCTTCGTGCGGCTCCGTGCGTCAGCGGCATGGGCGGTTAGCTTTGAAACTGATCTGTTGGGCTAACCCAGTCCATGAACAAAGCGACCATGTCAATATATGTCAATTCTTTTTGGGATTGACCATCTTAGTAGTCCAAAAGAGAAGGGGGATGTACTCACCTGGCTTGTATTGTCCTGCTTGCCTTCTGTGGGTAGACCTAGATTCAGGCATCTGTTGGAACACTTCGAGCTGACTGGAATGCACTGCTTGGAGCTAGGGCATTGCCAAGCTGTTGGCTTCGGGTGCGCATGAAAACACGTATTCCGCTGCAAGGTTTCCATTTCCCTTCAAAACCGAGTTGGAAACTATGGCATGCCGATGTTCAATTCAGCTAGTGGTCCGAGTTCGCTTCAGAAGTTTGCCGGAGGGTATTGAATGGTCAGTGACACGTAAGCCCAATTGCAAGGAACGAGGCGGCCTTGGTCCAAACCTGGGCCTGTTGGCGCTTTGAAGGTTTCTTTGAACCTATCCCAATTTTAGCTTGGATTCTGCTTCGACCATGTATGTGAATTTGCCCTTGCACTGAACACTTAGGCTATCATACAGATACTTGTTGGTTGGCGCAGGCGCCACTAACGGCATGCCTGGGACTGGCCCCCGTCTGCGCGGCCGCCCCAGGTCTGCCAAAAAAGGCCTTGGGGGCCATTTGGGTATGTCTCACAAAGGAAAGCCCCCGTTTCAGCTCGAGTCTTTCAAGAAGCCTGAGAGATAACAAAAAAAGCCAACAGTGTCACACACACACATACACCTGTATGGGATTGTCTTTCAATGAGGGAATCTCCAGAGTTGGTGGTTTCTTGTAGGTTTCCTTTTGCGGGCACAGGGTGCCCTTAGAAGACACACCCAGCTGGCTGGCGCGGCGAAACTCATCTCTGATCTCTTTTGATGGTCAACAGCACTCCGTCACCGAAGTGGTTGCCGAAGATCTGCTCCACCTGGACAGCTGAAACGTCCAATTGCAAGATCTATTTGCAGCATTTGCCCCAGTTCCCGACTTTCTATATTTAGGGAATTGACCGTGGCCTCTCTCTGCCACAAAGGTTTGAGATGCTTGCAATATGCGGCCAACAGCATCCAGCAACCCAATGTGCAGCTCCAACACCACGCTGAGGACACATGGGTACGTGCGCAAACAGGCGGATCCCCAATCAAAGGTCCGAGCGGCTGATGAGAGTTCACCCAACCAAAATGGTCGGCATATTTTTGATGTTGGAACCACCCAACCAAAATGGTCAAACTGCAGGATGTCACCCGTGAATATTGGAAGAATGCACCGTATAAGGATGTCAAGTGCAGCTGGCCTTGTGTCCAATGCCACATCAACAAACAATGTGGCTATGCATGTTTATCCCTTCACATATATATATATATGTGTGTGTGTGTATGTACGTACATATGTACACGTATGCATATGTATGACCATATGTATACCAACCTACATGCATATACATACATACTTATGCTTGAACATATGTACACGTACATTATGTATGAACGTGCATTTGTGTCGCTATGTGGCCAAAGGAAAAAAACAAGCCGGCTTCGGATACCTCCATATGCATGTGTATATAATATATATGTATATGCATCAGGTTGGGCGGGAAAACAAGTTGCGTGACTTCAAAGTAAGCAAGGTAGTGCCAGTGAATCGTTTCCATTGGGATGTACCCGGAGCCGTGAGAGAATGGCGGTGAACCGCATTGGAGGGCGATGCAGCGCATCTTAGCAGCGCTGACATGGATCTTGGCACTTGTAGGCTGCTGCAATGCTCGATCGAAGCTCGTAGATGTTTGCCTTTGGAGGGTAGGCAAGCATTATTTGCTATTCAAGAAGTGGCAGTTGATGCCTATCCGTTGATTCTGGCAACATGTGCTTTTCCATGTCCTTCCTCTCTAAGGTCCTACTTCCGTACCCCACCTGTCAGTCACATATGCTTGGGGTATCCTCCAAGGCCCGTGTACCCCTCCGGTCGTTTGGGATCGTCTTGCACAAAGGGACCAATCTGCATTTCCCATTTTCAGGCTCCTTTTGAAGTGCCGTTGACTAAAGGTCAACCCAAAGAAAACTCACCATATTGATTTAGGGTTTGCTAGTTCTACACCCATTTCCCTTGTGGCGACCCGTCCACTGACAGGCAAGGCTCCTGCAAGGACCTCAAGCAAGACCTTGCTCCAAACAAGGAACTGTGCACAGCCCTCAGCAAACCTTGCAATGCATGCACTGTACTTCCTGAGGATGCGTCCAGAATCTTTTGGAAGTACCTTGTGCCTAAGCGCGAGCTGTTCGCCCTGCCTGGTCTGGATTTCCGCGGAGTGACACCTCATCGATCTTGATGATGAGGTCCCCCACCACAAGCCCAGGCTGTCCAGGCTTTTCATACACCTAGCGGGGGGGCTTGACACCAAACCTGGGCACAAAGGCTGCGAATTATGGAAGAAAAACCTCATCCTGAGCTTGCGCTTAACCACAACAAGGGCCGAAGGGGAAACATGCAACCACTGACATCCCAAAAAAGCGAGTCCTAAAGCGGGGCATCTGAAACAAGTGGTCTTCCCCTTGCGTGCTACATGAAATCCGTGTGTGGCAAATTGTGCATGGGGAAACAAATCGGCAGAGCCTGGTTCCCCAAATGAAAGTACTCGTTGCACCCAAGCAAGAAGCTTGCCCAGAAACGGTGTTTGTTTGCGTGGTATGTTTCTGTGTTAGTTGTGCTTTGAATAGTACTGTCTCTTTGTTTGTGTTGTGCTTATGGGTATTTTCTTGTACTTTGTTGTATGTTCCGGTACTTTCTTGTGTGTTTTTTGTGCGAGAATGAAGTCCACTGGTTCTCTGAAGGGGTGCGAAAAGCTGGTAAGTTGTGGTTCTGTGCGGGGTAACAAGGGTGGCTGAAAGAAACAACGGCACCTGGCAGCATTTGGATTGAGTAAAGAAGCTCATTGTGTTTCCCAGCTTTGCCCAGTCGGTGCACGCTGGTTGAAACTCCAAACGCCAAGGCTTGCAACAGCAGGTTTGCCCTGCAGTTGAAGGGGGCATGCCTCAGGAGCTTGTCTTCAAGAAAAGGGTCAAAGATGAGATTATTCCACTGGTTAGGTAGGCTGCTGCAGGGCATGTGTTTCATACCTGTTCATAGCTTTTGCATGGTTTTGTCGAGGGGGCGGTTCTTGAAGAGGCACTGTTTGACTGATGTCGAATGTGGCCCTTGCGAGAAAGTGCTGGATATGTGGGGATTCGATATGGCCTGGACGATGCGCATGCCCCCGGTCTCTGGGTCGAGGCCCAGCCCCGCGCCGTCCGTGCTGGAGACCTTTGAAACAACACTTTGAGTGGCACTTGGCGCTTGCACATTCCAAAAATCCACAGGTCTGGATTTTCATCTCAAACAGTGCACGACCTTTGGTTGGTATTTGAAGAGGAAAAATGCAGGAAACCCGGTTAACCCTAGCCCAACATGCAACGTGGGTGTGGAACCATCCACTTGGACCTCACCTCATTGCAAGGTTGGACTCAGCCCTTGTATGACCCCCCTCCAAAAACAGGAGAACACGAGGCACCATTCGAGGTCTGGTTCAGGACTGGGGTGGGGTAAAACCTTATTTCTTTTGGGTCCCCTCCAAGGAGACTGGAGATTGGTCAGTTTTTCGGGCAAACCAAAGTCCAAATCATTGTACATCACATCCCGTAGACAGGGACGTCGCCGGCGTTGTTTTGGCAAATTCTGACACCGCCGTGCTTGCGCACTTTGGGGCCTAAGGGTGCAAATACACGAGCTAGCGTCGAGGTCTTCAATTGCACATGCTTTCCTCGGCAAAGTCTAATTCAGCCCTGCACCCGGCATGCTTTCCGGTTCGCTGTACCGAGCCTTAAGCATTGGAAAAGCTGTCCAAGCCCCACTTGCGCGTGACGTTTGCAGTGACTGACAGGTCTTGCTATGGCTTCGGAAAAAGGCTAGTTCGCTTACAACTGCAAATTGCGACGTTCCAAGAAGGCACGAGCTCTGGACAAAGATATTTTTTCATGCTGTGAAAACCTAACGTTTGTTTTTTCACCAGGAGCTGAGAAACTTACCACCCCCTGTTCACATTGGCAAGTCTCGCTCTCTCTCTCTCTCTCTTTCTCTCTCTCCCGTTGCATCCAAGAGGACCCACTTGTGAGGCAACGCATACAGGCCTCTGCCATATTGACAGTGGAACTCTACCCTTCTCAATTTAGTTTCCACAAAAATTGAACCAACACAGCACCCTGCAGCTGCATGCACCTATATGCGTCTGAAATCCAAATGCGTGGCCTGGTAGCAGCAAAGGGGTCGAGTGGATCTTGCCATGGCTCTTCATGCGTGAGTTGTGATCCAAGCAAAACACAACACTTGCAAAACGCAACAAGTGACTGAGGTATTCAATCGCGCTGCGCAAAGCATGAGAACACAAGCAACCGTTCGCACCCGCCTGCGGATCATATTGGTTGCCATGTCAAGCTCTCTGGCAGGCACTCCGTTGACAAATTCAACAGTGATACAGGCATGATAAGGCCATAAAGTAAGCTTCTCTTGGCAGGGCAAGCAATACCCCTGCCAACCCAACCAAACCTGCCCAACCAAAAAGCTTTTCAGCCCCAACTGCACTAAACCAAATCAACATGGCATGCCAGGTGGGCAGGCAGCCAGAACGAAAGCGCACGCGGGCCTTCAAGGTGTGTGTGACAAGGCGGAAGGGCGTCTTCTTGGGTTGCCGCTCCTCCGGCACCGTTGCAAGCTTCGCTGTGGGTCCTCCTCCTCGGCTCGCTTGTGCGCGTGTGCGTCATGGACTGCTTGGGCTTTCTTTCGTGGCTCTCTGGAAGTGAATGTTATGCCAGTCAATGCATGACACAAATATGCACGTAGACCTCTATGACACGTGTTTGCATAGCAATCTGCATAAATACAAATGCATGCACATATGTGTCGATCAATCATGATACTTTGAAACACGCCATTGTTTCAGCTTCCCCTGAACAACTGCTGGACTCTATGGGACCCCCGTGGGTAGTGGTTCTATGTGGCCTTGTGCCGCATGCTTTTAAACGGGGGGCTCTGTTACATGGGCTTCCGAGCATGGTTGGGTGTGCGTGTTTCCTGCAACATGTCCCTGACTGACTCATGACAAAACTTGCCGGCGCATCAAAACGCCAGAGCCCCGAGGCTTACAAGAAATATGCAAGATTCTGCGCGTGTCTTGGTAAGAAACAAACGACATGCCCCCGGGCTCCCCCCCCTTTGCAAGCTGGCACGTGAAACGAAAGGGAGTTCCCATCTCAGTCAACTCTGTTGGATGGTGCGGGAAGCGTGGGAGGAGGAACTTGGGATAAACATCCCCCCCCCACAAATGAAGCGGGGGATGGTTCAACGTGGGGGTTGTGAATCAGGGCCAAGGATTAGGGGTCATACCGAAAGCTTCTAATTCCCTGGCCCCTGGCGGTTTGCCAGGATAAGGATATGAAATATGAAAAGTCCAATGGGTTGCACGGCCAAACGTCCTGGGTTGCTCAAATGGTGGAACCCTGATCCTGATCCACCCGGCAGGACCACTACAACGGAAGATCTTGGACAACGCAGCCAAGCGGGCCATCCTGCAATTCCAATGCCTGTGCGGTACCAAGTAGCTTGTGGAGGATCCAATCGCTTGGCCTGAGCAAAGTCGACAACTCAGCCCAGGCGTACATGCGGAACGACCCACGGGAACCAACGTGGACACATGTATCCTGCTGTACTTTACCCCCCGTCTCAGCAAGAGAAGCAGTAAATGCTCGGGTTGTGGTCCACAGTGGTGTGGATGGCTCGGCCATTGCAGCATTCCCGCTCATTCTATGCATCCCAAGAACCCCCAAGTGGGGTGACAGCATCATGGAAAGTGTGCCTTGTTGAACAACCCTCATGGGTAATTTGATCAAAAAGTGGGTAGTTTCATGCAGTTCCTATCCCAGGTACCTTTCAAGATTGCTACTGGCACATCGGCTGGCTTCCTGCATTCCTGAGACCTCAATCATTGAAGAAACGCCTCCTCTGCAATTCACAAAGCCGGTTAAGGGCCCCATTTTTTTGTAGTCTCTCTCTCTCTCTCTCCTCAGGGCGTATCTCTTTCCCTTTTACTGGTCAGCCAACAAAAACAACGCGCCCTTGGGGGCCTGCGCCCGGATTTGGAAAGCAAGCCACTGGCAAGCAAATTTTGAGGACGCTGACTTTGCCTCCCAAACTGGTGGGTGGGGAGCCGTTAGCTTATAGAGCAAAACCAGGACATTTCTGAGAAACAAGCCGCTAGCTTCTAGCGCAAAACCAGGACATTTCTGAGAAAAAAGCCGCTAGCTTCTGGCGCAACACCAGGACATTTCTGAGAAAAAAGCCGCTAGCTTCTAGCGCAAAACCAGGACATTTCTGAGAAAAAAACCGCTAGCTTCTAGCGCAAAACCAGGACATTTCTGAGAAAAAAAAAACGCTAGCTTCTAGCGCAAAACCAGGACATTTCTGAGAAACAAGCCGCTAGCTTCTAGCGCAAAACCAGGACATTTCTGAGAAAAAAGCCGCTAGCTTCTGGAGCAACACCAGGACATTTCTGAGAAAAATGCCGCTAGCTTCTAGCGCAAAACCAGGACATTTCTGAGAAAAAAGCCGCTAGCTTCTAGCGCAAAACCAGCGCATTTCCCGGGGAAGCCCCTTCTGGTTTACTGACCCTGGATGAATAGGCCCATCCCAGAAATCGCGGAGTGTGCCCCTCCACAAGTGATGAAATGTGATGCCTCCCCACTAAAAGGAGACGCCCCCATTCATTTAACCCCGGCTTAAGGCAAGTCACACGGAAACCTGCGGTTCTGTTGGAGGTGTCCCGACAAAACTTTGGACGTTCCCGCCTGGGAAATGGTGCTGCAGAATGCCCTGCAGCTCCTGCCGCGCCTTGTTCCTGTCCTCCTGCGATGTCCACCGAACAGTGCAGGGCTGAAGGCACAAAGGCTGAATGTATACACTCATGTGGGTTAAGTCGCAAATCACATTATGTGATGTCTCAGTTGTGGGAAATTCACCGAAGAAGGCCCAAGACATTGGCTCATTACATTGGTTGTATGCATTCTGTCCTTTCGACAGCCCGCCCCGCGCCTCGGCTAAGCCCAGCTGCATGTTGGCCACTACCTCCCCGTGCCTCACGGGGAACACAAAATGCAGCTCATGAAAGCCAGCCCTTACAGCCCTACCGGCTCATCGACAAACAAGTCAAAAGTCGCCCGGTTCACAAGGGGATGCTCCAAGCGCGCTGGTGAATGTGATTCTCAACAGGGCCAATGTGTATCTCTGTATGACCTTTTGGCAACCCTGCCTTTGTCAACCCCGTTGACTTTGGTGTCAAACATGCCCAACAAGTGATTCCCCGACAAAAAAGAATCCAGAAATCCACTCGAAGGGCTTGCCCCTCTTCCTGGGAATTCCCAGTTTAGGCCATTCCTAGTTCTACCACATTCCCAGTTTTGTCCCCTTAAGGGTCACAATAGAACCTGCACGACGCTTCGGGGGTTTCCTGTTCCCAGGACCCCCCGGGGTCCCGGCTTGACGGTAGCGGCGCAACGGAACTTCCGAGTCCAGAGCTGCAAGTCCCGGCGCAGCGCCTCGACTTGGTCCTGTCGACTCCGACGGCGACTCGACGGCCCTGGCTGTTGCTCCCCGGAAGCTTTCGGGGACCCGCGAAACACGCCGCCCAATATCGCCCAATATATTGGAAAGGGTAACATAGGCCACTGGAGGTGAGCTGGTATGTTCGGGGGGTTAAGAGCATTTTAGCATTCGATGATGACTACGTGTGGCAACATTCGCATGTCCCCTTAAAACTGGTGGCTCAAACCTATCTAGGGGGTGCATATATACATAGATACAAACCACTGTATAAGGGGTTTACTACGGGGCTTGGAAGGAGCATATGAAAATCACACACCCCTCTTGAATTCCTGTTGGGGAAATCAAACATGATGGGCAATTTGAGCCGCGGGGTTGGAACGTTGTTACAAATGTATTGAGTTTGTTTGAGTGTGCCATCTCACACTTGCCAACTTCCACTTCAACCTGCGGAACGTAGGCAATCATGATTTCTGTGTGGGCCGAGAAACATGTTGGTTGACTTGAACGCCATGGCTATAATTTACTTACTACATGTGCCAGACATGTTGTTTGGAATGTGCTGTGGGGACCGATTGAGCAACTTAGCGTCATGACCATCATGACTTCTCCTTGGAGGGCTCCACGGGCAAAGGTAGCCTCTCCTCCGTGGCTGCGTGCTCCTTCTCCGTGCAAAGCCTTAAATTTTAACACTGCCGCGATCAGGTCACAGCTCCTGGCAAACACTAGCAGAACCACTTCTTGAAGCGCTTTTGGGCACTGCACGTCGCCAGTCAGCTGTAAAACTTGGTTGTTCAAACTGGGGGATGCTTGACATGATCCGGACGTTCCAAGGGGAAAATAACAGAGGTCAAAAGGACGAGGATTGACCTCAAACTCGGGCAAAGTGCAGGCATGGCGCTTAATGATTTTCGACAGCGTCCCGCCACAGCTAGTGATCCAGGGATGGTTCAGGCACCCGTCAATGCCTGAGTCCAAGACAAGCCCTGGGAAAAAAAAAAAAAAAGCACAAAAGATTAGCCAGTCGGGCATTCACTCAAAGTAAACACCAAAAACCTGAAACCCAAAAAGTTGAAAAGGTTGGCTTTGGACAACTGAGCTTGACATCTTCTCTGATATCCTGGTCGCGCAACTTCAACGGTTCAAACCATCCCCACTTTCTTTGCAACAAGGGATTTATCACGTGGACGGCTCGCTGTTTCTGCAGCTCTGGATCGAGATTGTGCACTTCCCCAGTTGCCCTAGCAAGTGCCATCTGTGAGCCAAAGCGAATCAGCCCACATTCTGGAGCGAAGGATTTGCATGTCTCATCGCCAGCCCCCTACTGTCAACTTGAATTTCGGTAGCCACCACCAAGCATGCCCCTGCCCAGTCGACCATCCCCACAAAGCTACGGCTGTCGTTTTCCCTACTGTTAGCCTGCTAGCAAAACTCAACGCCCCCCCCCTTTCCGATAGCTACAGCCGAGCAAGAACCAACACAAATCCAACCTGCAAGTTTCGGCCTCCCATTCCTATGGATGGACAATCCTGCACCTGTGATGGACAAACCCGTATGAGTACTTGGGGAAACAGAGGTGCCGGCAGCTGGCGCAGGAAGTGGTCCATCAGGAAACTTGCGCTAGCCACAATTTGCCGAGCAGCTTAGCCGTTCCTGAGGCCGAGCCTTGATCAAGGCTCGGATCAAGTCTTGCGCGTACTGGCTAGGCCTTGCGATTTGACTCGAAGCACCATGGCTCCCCGTTCAAGCACACCCCATTTAAGGGAAAATCAGCTTATATAGATGGGCCAAAATGGTGCTGTTGAAACCACCCAAAAGGGATACATATATATATATATACAGAAATAAATATGTATAGCCCGGAACTGGCTCGACAATCATTGGCCAACATAGGGAATGTGCAACTAAAGCGACAAACGCTTCAAAGCTCAGCACAAGCACCGATCTCAGTGATGCTCCGACATGGGAACGCCCTGACAAGCAGGCTTTTCTTGCATGGATGTGTGCCTCTGTTTGGGGTATATACCCTGATGAGGTTGGTTAAAACGGAAGAAACACTGGTCAATTTGTGGCGACTTCATATTTGCAAACCCTATGGGCCTTTGAACATAGCGGCTCTCGAAGGCCGCTGAAATCACGTGAAAGAAAGATGGCCATCCCTCAGCCATCCCTCCATAGTCTGCCTGACCCGGACCCGCGTGTCTCTCAATTCATGTCCGGCACGACCCTATGTGGTATTAGCTCAGGAAGTGAGGATCCAGTGAAACAGCTTGCTTGTGGGGAATCCAGGAACTAAACACAACTGGATCTAAAGATCTTCCCACATTCCCTGAGTTCACCAGCGGCGCCGCTCCGGGGACCCAGCTTCCTCGAGTCATTGGGGAAGGTCACATTGGCCTTGCGGATCTGCAAGTCAATGGACTCTCCAATGCCATCGAAAGGATAGGCCCCCACGAGCATGACATAGAGAACCTTCGCAGCCGGAGCCTCCAGCCTTTAAGCCTTGCAGCCAAAGCGTATATAGCTACAGGTGTAGATGATCGGTCTGCTTCATAGGCGTGCTTGCCAACTTCACGTTTATGCCCATGGCTGTGAGAACAGGCGCGGCAAACACACGCAACCAACGGCACTAGGTTGAGAGGTCCATTGCACATCCAACGCACGCAAGCATGTCGACAACAAATGATGCCGATAGGATGCATTGAACTAGTTCAACATCTTGGTAGCCAATGGGAGGATGAACTATGGGCATGCTTCTCCCTTGGGTTTTTGGCACAAGTACCATCTCAACTGAAGCTTCCCTTCGTTTGAAGACCAGAACATCTTCATGAACTTGGCTGAAATCTCCAACAAAAGCAGGAGGGCTCTTTGTCTCTCTCTCTCTCTCTCTCTCTCTCTCCCTCTCTCTCCCTCTCTCTCTGTGCAGCCCTGTCCCTGTCGGGCAGCATCTGCCGGACTCGCTCGGATTTGGCTACGTTCCTGGATATTGTCCGGGGCTCCTTTCTTGGATGCATTTTCCCAGCTGGACATCCTGATTCCTTGTCATGGCAACATGCAACACAAGGGTATGAATGGCGCTGGCCTGCTGGGCACGCGGGGTTTAATTGTTTTTTTCCTGCAGGGATCACCCAAGCCAAAGGGTGATATATGCTGACATGTCAATTGTCCAAACATGGGAAACATGGCACCCCTGACCCACTTGCCCTCATTGCCAGGGCATCCTCTGGAGAACCGTACCAAGCCAAATACACCATCGACACCAAACCCAACCTGGGAAGCTCCTGAAACGAAGCGAGATGCAGATGAACCCACCAATTCTTGCGAGTTGGTCATCCCTTTGAACGTTTTTGAACCATCACTGTCCATGGGAGGCAAGAAAGGTGCGAGACTTTGCCGGCCATTTGGGGAAAGATCAAGCTGGAGGGTCCCGTTGGCCCATGGCCAAGTCTCGTCCAAGGAGCCACACCCAGGGACCAAAGGTCCACTCGCTGGTTGTAGCCCTGAGCCGCCTTCGCGGGATCCGACACCTCCGGGGCCCAGTACTGCGGAGTCCCCACCTGGCATCGCAACAAACCAATTGGAACATGCTAAGACATCCCCAAAATCACCCTCGATGTTTACTTTGTTGAAGAGGAACCCTCCAACCGTGGAGAGGAAAGAAAGAAAAGGGAAAAGCGCCTATGGACGTCTAGGAAAGAACGAAGGAACTCACCCAAAAACGCAGTCGAGCGCCTTGGGATGGGCATCTCAAAAGGGGTTGAACACCTTGCAGCCTTGCAGGCCTTGAAAGAGAGGATTTCGAAACGATAGCCCTCCTGAAATTCTCATGAAAATGGACAAAAAATCATTAGCGGAATCTCTTTCCGGACCCCTTTTCGGGATTGCACCTTGTCATGTCAACGGCGAATGTGGATCCATGTGGACTCACACTCATTCAGTACTTGGGTGTGGGGGTGATGTCTCATTCATCCACGCCGCCCGCGTGAGTGCAGTACTGTAGCCGTCGTTGATGAGCTTCGAGTGCCCGAAGTCCGAAAGTTTGATCTCCAGCAGGCCCCGGCGCGAGCCCTTCGAGTCCTGAGGCAAGGGGTCTCTTCGCTCTCTTTTGCGGGTTTGGCTGGCGGGTGTAGTTGTTGCCTCAGACACAGGCAGGGATGGGCGAAGGAGGGCATGGACCGCTTGCGTGGGTTCTGTGTGTTTGGCAACGACCAGGGTTGGCCCAAAGCTACTTCCAAGGGCTTCCCAAAGTGCTCCCGGAACCACAAGACATCTATGAACATGGGCGGTTTGTAAAGGGGTAGCTGTGCAACCTTGTTGCGCTTTAGAACCTGTGATGTACCAAAGTTCCCAGGAAAGGGCCTGCAAAAAGGGAAATTGGATGAGGAAGTTCTGAGCAACCCAGAAATGATCCTTCAAACCCGGAGTTCCATTGAAGAGTTCCAGGAAGCATTCTGGGGGTAGGGTGGTGGGATGTTCTCTGCAAACCTTCAAGCCAAGTGTCCACCAGGATGTTCTCTGGCTTCAGGTCTCGGTACACAATGTCCTGGCACTCAGTTGCAAGCAACTCAGCGTAGAAGGAGGGAACACTTTTTGAGCCCAAAAAAACGAATTTGGCCTGGTCCAGGACTCTCTAATGACCTGGTCCAGGGAAGAGTGGCGAAATCAGCCTTGACATGGTGGTTGGCAGCAGCTCCCTACAAGGTCTAGGAGCCTACGACCCCATCATCCCATTTGTCCCCACGAACCCAAGGTCCTGGGAGTGGATGTATTTCAAGCCATCCGCTATTTGGATAAAAACCTGGGCTTGGGCAGTGCATGTCGGCGGGCCGGGAAGCTGTATTGCATGATCAAACGCGCAAATCATGACCCGAGCTGAAGCACCAGGTAGGTCAGCCTTTTCGGGGGGCGGCCATGTTTGATAGGGAAGTGGCCAAACTCCAAAGGACCCAGGTTGCAAACCCCTTTGCAAGGTCGCGAGCATTTCAGAGCTCCGCGATTGTGGGCAAACTGATTGCATGCCTGCAACATGACCAATGTGCAAACCTTCCTATGGGCAACAAAGCGCCCTTGGCGCCATGATGCCTAGTCCAAATTCTGCCAACGCGAAAGCACCAGACAATCCCATGCCGAAGGGGTTGAATTGGCGCCGCGCAAATCAAATCTTGATTTGCCTGGGCCAAACATAGCCGAAGTGGAACCCTTTGCGAAATCCTCATACATCCTCGGCTTGTGATAAATGTTGACCTCAATTTCTGGCTTGCTCATGCAAGTTGAATCAAGCATGTGTCAAATGAACACAGTATACATAAGTTGATATTAAAGCATTGCAGCGGCCCTCCAACTTGCTCAGTGGACATTGGGAAAAATGGGAGAAGCTGGTATCGTGGGTTCCATGCATTTATTATTCTTGCTTTGGGGGGGGGTGCTCATCCCAAGAGCCGCCGATATAGTAGTCCGCTTCCACCAATGAGAAGATTGGCCCGCGCCAAGTCACAGAACACCCTAGCTGCTGTGAAACGTCCGAGACAATCTAGGGGTACACAAGGAAACACCTACAATCAAACTACTCTCAAAGTCACCCAGATTCATTGAGGGAAATGACCGCATGTTTAGACTGACTGCAAGCAGTCCAATTCGATGGGCTTAAACATGAACCATGTCCAGCGTCCCACTCGTCTCATCCTCACCCCCCGAGGCAAGGGTAAAAGCCAGATCTGACCAAGAGGCGTAACGGGCGACTGATTCAGTGAAAGCGCCCATTTGAACAATGTGGTCAAAGAGCTCTCCGCCCTCCACCAGTTCCATGACCTGAATTCGGGACCACGCTCGAAGGCAGGAACATTCTCTGCACGTGCTTGGTAGATAATGAGTGGATATGTAGCGAGTAACCCCCTATGGCAACCCCAGTCATTGCCAACTACTGCTGACGCATGCCCTGCCGTTCACCTTGTGACATTGAAATTCACGTGTGCAGAAAAATGGCTGAGCAGCCTCTACTGCAAAGCAATCCAAGATCCAATTCTTAATTCAAAACTGTGCGCATTGCTTTCCTTAAAGGGCTCAAGCGTACTGCATGAGTTTATAGGTACCTCGCATAGTGGTTTCCAAGGCGTGGTTGCAAGATCGGCATGATGTCCGTCTTCTCATTGTGAAGTATGGATGGAAAGCGTTTGTCTCAATTCTTCATGCGGAGCGGCGAAGCAGGGACCTCCTTTGGGAAAGGATCCAAGTGGACACACTTGGGCCCTGTACAACCCTACTCCTGCATGCATTCTCCCAGAACATAGCGTTGTTGGGTAGAACCGTTTATAAACCAGGAAATAGGCTACCTATACCCAACATGCAATATATAAAATTAAGGGCCTAAAGGCCAGAACCGGTACGACAGGGTTGTTGGCATGCCATACTGCCACCACTTGCCTCTTGCCCTATCGTTGCGTAACCGCAACTTGGCTCGTCAGCCAGCCGAGTGGCCAAATGCAACTGATCGCGGCCTTCCACGACGTCAAAGAGAGACACGATTCTCGGATGCCGCAGCGAGAAGAGGATGGACACCTGCAAACTGGGCCAAACGGATCTGCTCGAAAAGCCAGGAGAAGATCGAAAGAAACCAGGGCCCCAGCTGGGAGAGAGAAGGCACCAAATCCAATCTGGTTCGACAGAAACCCGCCAGGGAAAGAAAGAACACGAAGCGCGGGCCGAAAATGAACAGCACGCAAACAAGAAAGGCAGCATGCTACCAATTCTGCTCATAGAAGGCTGAGTGGACATCAGCTAACGGACTGTTGCGAGACCTTGACCAACTCTACCAAGAGACCCTTCAGGGGACAAAGAAAACAAGCAATGAACCATCGTGGATGCATCTGCCCGCTTTGGAAGTCCAGTCCAAAGCCATACCCAACAGGGTCCTGGAACTCGTTGCCATGTGATCCAAGGACGAGACTGAACCCACCAGGCTTTGGCGAGTCTCGAGTGTCGCTTTCACATAACTTGCTGAAGACCCCAAACAATTGGCTTTTCTCCACTTCAAACCCTCACATGTTCTCAGCAACTCGAGGGATTGCACGGGTATAGAAATCATATATATATATATATATATATGTATGCATGTATTGTAAATGCATGGCTTTCGACTAGGAGCCTGAATGCAAGCAGAACGGGCGACTAGTTTTTTGCCCCCTCCCCCTCGTTTGGACTTTGGGTTGCAAAAGCGAGCCTGCGTTGGGTTTGGTGACATTTCCCGGCTCAAGGCACCTATATAGGTTGCAGTCCTCATGCCAGCAATGACCTACCATACGTACGTACAAACAACTGCTTGAACATCTCTCAGAAACCCGCTCCAAACGCACACACACACACACATACACACCTTGATCTGAAATAGGAAACGCAATTAAAATGCATTGCAATCTGAAATGTTGCCTTTGTTTACCGGCCGGTGAGGAAGATGGAACCGCCGAGAAGGAAGCCTTCTTGGGGCAGGTCAGCTACTCCCAAATCGCAATAATTTGGTAGATAAACTAATGCGCAAGAATACGCAAAGCAAAATACGCTGCCCGACATTCCAGGTACTCATCGTCATGCAGCACCAGCACCACCTGACCTGTCCGCAACGCCACCATCACCAGTCCGCAGCGCATTTAACGTTGCTTGACGTTTGCAACCGTTGTGTCTGCTGCTGCATTTGTTTTTTAGCCGCCCGTTTTGTTTGGAGCTCGCCCGGGCTTGCCCACACGCGCCCAAGATGTCGGGGCGTGCAAAGGGTAGGGATATAAGCTCGGTTTCAGTGTGGGAAACAAAGGCAGTGTTGGCTAACTGCAGGATTTTTTTTCATGCAGAACTACCCAAGTGCACGGTAGCCACGCGTGTGTAAGAACAACGGTAGTCGGGGGGTGCTTCGTCCTTGCGAGGCTGGCCAGAGTCCCGGGCACGAGCGGCCCTAGCCTCTCTGTGCAGCTTATCCGAGACTTTCTGGTAATTGGGCTGCAACTTCAGCTTCCCGAGGTTGATGCTCTTTACCTCAGCATCACCATAACCTGTCTGGGGCTGGGTTTAAAGGGAAACCAGCAGGAAAGCCACGATTTTGTGGCTCCTCTATTTTTGATGTTCCCATTCGACCCAGGAAGAAACCTGGCGGACTCACAACGGGGTTCCTGCCTCAAAGTGGGCTAAAATGCAACTCCCTCGACCAACCAGGGGTTGATAATTCTGGGTTCCCAGTGCAGTGCCATGCGCCACTCCACGACTCATACAAGATCATAACAGCAAAAGTGGTTGAGATGGCGAAAAGTAAGATCAGCACTGCAAACTGCGTGCCGTCAGACTTCATGCACCTGGGCATTGGGCTAAGCTGAAAAGAGATGCGTGTGCGAGGCTTAGCCCAAAGGGTCCTGATGCTTCGACATGGCTTCCAGCTCAGGTTGCTCACTCACGGGCTCACGCTACCACACGAGCGAGCAAGCAAACAAGCAGGCAGGCAAGCAGGCAAGCAGGCACAGGGCCCTTGACATTTCCCTTTTGGAGTGGTATACACATCACTTGTTGATTCAATCTTGATTGAGTTTTTGTATGACGTGGTTGAAGGAGGCATGCATTGGAACCTCAAGATTAGGGCAAGCAAGCAAGCGGGGGGTACCTGTGCGGTGTTCTCACAGTTCACAGGGAACCCAAAAAGAAACCACTCCAGTCTGGAGGTTTCAGATCCAATCTTGAGACAAACCTAAGCTTCATGGAGACGCATTATTGAAGTGGGCTCGAATGATGCTTGAAACCTTGTCCCCCCCTCCCCCCAAAAAAAAGTGAGGCTCGGGAGTCACCCATGCCATTTCGAGGGGAAGGGGGATGACATCTACCTCACTTCCTAAGTGGATTGGTAAGTCAACACTTGGTAAGTCAAAACGTACTGTTGACTAAAACGGTCGAAACCCAAAAAGTATAAACTCAGGAAGTGAGAGTGTGAAGCCTTTCGTTTTCATGCGCCTGCAAACCGTCGCAGTGGCACCCGTGCCCAATTCCTCGAGCATGGTGTAGCGCTTGGGGTCATCCTGCGAAGGGTCACCGAGCTGGGCGTTTCTTTTGGGACCTCTGTTTGGTTGCCATATGTTGGCGTTAAAGGGATGAACAGGGAGACCAGCCGTGTTGGGGAAATTTTAAGATGGGCATGAATTTGCAAATCGGAGAAAGCTGGCGGGGGGCCTAGGAGCATTTGCTCTTCAGACAAGACCCTCAAATTTAGATGGTTGTGGCCTGTTGTGACCTCCTGTTACCTCTGCATGAGCCACGGCATTCTGGAGCATGTTATGAAACAACCAATTCAACACCTCAAGCAAAATAGAGCTTGCAGGGAGTGCCATCAGCTCACATCCCCCTCTGCTTATTGTGATAATCATGTCGATGTAGTTGCGGGGGTCCCAATGCAATTGCACTTGGGATTGATTGCTTTCCTCGCCCCGGCTGGTTTTGGAGGGTGCCTTGCTTCCACCCGACAAGCAACTCGCACAGTCCGGCGGGCCGAAATAGGTGCCGCCGGACCCAGGGGCCATGGTCACCACGTTGTTCAGGCTCGTGCCCGATGAGGCAGCCGGCACCTCCATGCAATGCGGAGGTCTAGGTTGAAACTGGGGACCTTTTGGTTGTCTTCACTCCTGTAGGCTTCTTGCAAAGAAGAAGAGAAAGAGTCGTGCTAAGAATTTGTGTTTGGCGGACCCCTTGTTTGGGTTCGGAGGAACGCTTCACCTTGCAGATGTGGAAATTGGGACAAAGGAATCTGCCATGTGCTTACCAGCCCAAGATACCCTCCAACAGGACGAAATGACAAATTGACCCAACCTGCATACTTTAAACTCACCAAAAAAGTCAAACATATATCTATATATGTATATATATATATTTGGATCCTCTTCAAAAGCAGCTTTCCTAAAGTGCTTGGACGTGCAGCACTAAGCCACTGCGCAAGTGCTCTCGCATCCGTAGCCCACGGAATTTCGTTCGGCCACGGACAAATGGAGGCTGATGGAAAATGGGGGGATATGCATTAGTTGGGGGAAGGGATTCATGCTCATTGAGGACGGACGCCGTAAGAAGGAACTCTTGTCTTGCCCTGCGAGCACGTAGCCGGATTTGTCTGATCTCCTCCGCTCATAGTCACGCAGTCACACACACACATACGCGCGAATCAGGATTTTTGGTTGCACATCTACAATAAATCGTCTTGGCTTCCCTGCTGCAAAGTTGCACTTTCGGTGGCCTCAAGGATGTCAACAGCGAATAAGCCGTAGTTCATGCACGTGAACATGACCGTATTCCCCCAAGCGAATTGGCTCAGGCTACGAGACTAAAGCCACCGAAAGGCGACAAGAGGATGCCTCTCACAGTGTTGCTCGATCCGAGGGGCAGCGTATAAAGTGGTTCCTCAGAGGGGAAGCTGAATGGAACCTACACCATTCTTGTATCCCCGCTTGCTTGGGTTCCATGTCAGGGCGTGGAAGTTCTTCGGACCAAGTCGCTGAGCTGGGCGTGGAGGGGGCAGCACTGGATTCCCCTCCTGCAGCCACTGCGTCCTTCTCTACACCTGGGCAAAATCATTCACCCACAGGCAGGTCTGGGCAGTCAAGTGACATCCTCACACACGTTTGTTCCCCCCAAATGGTGCTTTGAAGGAATAACAAGACCTCACCTCACAAGTATTTTTTGGAGAACCGACAACATGATACCATGTTCATGGACTCCGCACGTGTGTCTCCCCAACAGTGGGTGGCTTCCAAGTGGTTTGCTGTGAAAGCCGCAACCAAAAAATAGGTTCCACCTTCGAAAAAAGAAAAGCGAGCCACATGCAATTGGAATGTTGACAGGCTGGAGCTTGGAAACCTGCCAAGCCGCACGTTTTGGATTCCGGCTGCCGTGTCAACGTGTTTTGTTGAGTCCGCCTGCGCATACCGATCCTGATGTGCTCCCTTTTGCAGAAACGCTTGATTGCCCTTTGGCATTGTCAACTCCATTTCCTGCATTGGCCCTCCCAACTTCTGGAATGGAAACCCAGCGCAAAATCCAGTAAACCCAGCAAAGCCTTTCGGCTCTTCACTGGCTCAAACGGGGGGAAGGCATCCGCACGTTCTTCTGGTTTCCCATGTCGAGATCCGAGAACAAAATCCTGCAGAGGGGCGGCGGCGCTCCAAGGGCTTGAGACTGCAGGAATCCGCAAAGTCCTTCCAGTTGTCCAGGATCTCCTGCACCTGGCGTGAACCATGTTCAGCGGCAGGCCCTCAAATGGTTGGTTCCCCCTCCCCCGCGCCAAAAAGCAAAGCAAGTTCGCTGGCAACAAGCGAATGGAAAGCAAACACACAGGCACACAAACCCGCAAATTCTCTCCGAGCTTCACCATCTTTATTAGAATCATGATTGTGGACTGGAGGGTTTTGGAAGACTATCACCTTGAAAATGGCTGCCCACGCTCGTATTTGATGGAAACACAACATTCTAGAGGTTGAGCGTCCAAGAACCAGCAAAGTTTTGGTTGTTTCAAGGGGAGACTCGCCAACGATTGCTTGCTGGGTGTTGGCCCCTGGCAGTCCCTAGCAGTCGACCAGGGGATGCAATTGATACAGAAACGCACCTCTGTTAGACACAAACACACAAACAAACGCAAACAAACAAACAAAAAAACAACGACCAACCAAAAACCAAAAAAACAGACAGCCAGCCAGCCAGCCAACCAAACAAACAAGCAACTAAACAAGCAAACACACAAACGAAGAAACGTCGCTTTGCCAATAGACAAATCCAGAAGTTTCCATTTCTGCTTGCCCCCAATGCATCCTGGGCGCACTGACCGCACCCATGGTCTGGCACCAGTCTCGTGCTTTTCCTGTGTAGCCTCAGGTCGGTTGAGACGCTGGACGCGCACGGAATCGAAGCACAAAGGTCGATCATCTCATTTGGAAACAAGCCCAAAATGGACAACGGAAATCTCACAAAACTGATAAGTTGCTTCCTAAGCAGTTCGTGAGGGGGCTGCTAGGCGCCTGGCATTGGTAGCACCATGACACACCCGTTCAAGCGCACGTGTCTTTGCACTGCACGCATGGTGGCACCATGATGAGCATACCCGGTCATGCCTACATGTCATAGCACTGCACACACAGTGGTGATCAGCACACCCGTTCACGCGCACATCGCAGCCCTCTTTCCTTGAACTGAATGTCATGTCTACAGGAGAAACATCAAGGCCCTGTATTCTGCTGTGGCAACCACAAAGCAGCCAGCTGTGACCTCCCCAAGTAGCTTGAAAGCCGCCGAAAGAGCGAGGAAAAGGGTGACGCGCTGTCACTGGGGACAACACAGCATGGCTTCAAAACACCAGGCACCTGTCAACGCCCGGCCAAGTAACGCACACTGCCAGGGAATGGGCATCTAAGTGGGTTAAACATCCAACTGATTGCATCAAACTGGCATCCCCAAACTATCCGAGGGTTCCTTGAAGGAAACGTCCAAACGGCACTTGCAAAATCATCTAAGTCAGCTTGTGAAGGCGAATGCTTTACTGGCGCACATGCATTTCAGGCCAGTCAAAGGGAGTGGGCATCACAAGAAGCCAAGGCGCTAGTAAGTCGCAGCCGCTCCAGCCAAGCGCAAAGCTGATCCTCCGGGATGACGGAAGGAGGCACCGCGGCATAGCCTCCAGGTCGCCCGTGCTTCTCAGTTTCGTTGGCGAACCAATAGGCATTAGTGATTGTCAGTGACCACTAGTGACTACTAGTGATGATTGGTGACGGCTAGTGATAACTATAATGATTATATTGGTATTGGGGACCAGTAGCGGGCACATTTCCACATAGCGTTTGCTCAGCGAGCGTTGGTAGGTGGACAAAAGGATATTGCTGCGTCCTTGTACATTGAAGATTGCCATGAAAAGCCAAAGCTCAAGTAATTTGCTCATGGCATAGGTGCCTGAACAATAGCTAGGCCTCCTTTTCAGAAATATGGTCTGTTCAAAATGAAGGGTTGGCAAATCTACAAAGGGGCCTTTCGTGAATTAATGGATTGCCTATGAACAGCCAAAGAACAAAATCCACAGAATCAAACTGAGTCGTTCAAACTAGAAGGGTTCAATGCCATCCGCGATTGGTAGAACCACACTGATTCAAAACAAGTGCAAGGACTGATTAGGTGTCTCTAATGCCCATACATCGACTCCTGGCCTCGTGTGGCCATGGCTCAGTGTCCGCTTGCGCTGGGACCACACTGGCTGATCTCGGCTGCAGCTTCCTGCCTATTTTCCTGTGGGGCTCTTGTTCTCAGGCATGGCTCCACTGCATGTATTCATGCGGGGCGTTGCTTGGTTCAAGTGTCAGGCAACAAAGGGTCATGCCCCATGTAACCCCACATTTGCAAATGATGAGAATCCCAGGAAGCGGCATAAAGCGAATCACTGACCTTCGGCCTGCTACCGCTAGGATCAGGATGTAGATTCGATGTTTGGAAAGTGGATCAAAGTGGCTGCCCTCACGCAGGGGCCGATCGAAGTGCTGAATTGCTCTCTGTTGGCTCGAGCGTCGCCTCCGAACCGCGATCTCATCTTGGCTTAAAAGGCCTGCGGCGTCGGAAGCCCTCATTCGCAACCCAAAACAATACTCAAGCAACGGCAATTGCCTGCTTCAAGCAAAACCGAACATGGCAGAGAGGCTGCAACACCCAATTCACAACTTCAGCCGCTCATGCGCTTGATGGACAAAGAGTCGAGAATCGGCCAAAAGAAATCAGAGCCAACAAACACGCCAAAACCTGGCTGTTTAGAGATAGCCAGGGACGGCCATCAACTTTCCAAGCACGCGGCCAGCCACAAACGGCTGCTTCCATAATCAAAAATTGGCCTTGCCCTGACCAAATTGGCCAACATAAAAAAGCCAAAAGGTAAAAAGGTCAAGTGCTTTGGGCATGGGCCTTCTTCTTTAAAG